ATATACAGTATATATTGCAATTTATGGCAGATTTAGAGATAAAGAGTTCATAAACCTACTAATTTCTATTGGTAGTTATAAAGGTTGTTCTGTAACAGGAAACAATAACAGGTGTAGAGTGATGATAACCTATAATATTCACTATACTGATGCCCTTTGGTTATGTGAGCTCTCATGTTTTGTGTCTTCTTCTTTGACAGGAGTCGATAATTTCTACGATGCAGTTGAGGATATGATTGGCTACAGACCAAACCCATGGATGAAATGGAGCTGGACCATAATCACTCCTGTCCTGTGCATGGTGAGAAATCAGAGTCTGTCGTTTATTGTGTCTGAGCAATCAGAGAGTTTTTCAATTTTTTCATTACACTTGACAAATGACCTTCAAGGTCACAGGGAAGTGTGCGACTGAAGTACTAAAAGCAGCGTGTGTTTGATTCCTATAGGGCTGCTTTGTCTTTTCCCTGGTGAAGTACAAGCCCTTGACATATAACAAGGTGTATGAGTACCCTGACTGGGCCATCGGTGTGGGCTGGTGCTTGGCCCTGGCCTCCATGATCTGCATCCCAATGGTGATGGTCATCAAGATCTTGCAGTCTGAGGGACCCCTGATCGAGGTTAGCCGACACAACCTTTTTTTGGGAAATACGCTTTCTTTTCTAGAATTAGATGAGATGATCAATCACTCTAATGTGTATATGCTAAATATGTTGCCTGGCTGAAAATGTTGAAGACTGCTAATCGTCAGTGGTGATGTAACTTCACAAAGCATTGAACTACAGCCAGGTTTATCACTTTTTTTGGGTCCCTTGTAAAATTTTTTGTTGTTTTCTCAATTTGCAGTGCATTTCTATATGTGCATGTGTTCTGACTTTTTGCAGCACGTGTGGCGTCAAAAGACGTTTTCTTAATTTTCCTGCTTGACGACTATAATCAATGTAACTGCAGCACTTCCGAAAGCAATTGCAGCTGCTTTAATATCAGACGTTAATTTTGGATCGCATTACCAACATCTAGTGTGCACAGAAATACCATTTAATGAAGGTGACACAGCTCAGTGAAACGGTTGGTAGGGAGTCAGGTCAACCTGTCTTCAAACAGATAAGAAAATATTTTTGAGCTGAAACATTCTGTGATTAAGAGACTTGCAAACAGACGGGACTGTACAAAGTAGCAGCAGAATATTTCAATTTTGCTCGGTCAATGTTTTCAGTCTGCATGCTAATAAGTCGCCTCGCTTCCCCAATGGGTCACATCCACTTGTCTTAAGGTTGCCAGGCAGCCAGGCTAACTTTTAGTCCCCCTGCCTCTTCTTATGCTAAGCTAATCTGCTACTGGATTTCTTTTCGCATTTAACCTACACATTAGCGTAGTATTGATTTTCTCATGTAACTTGGCAATACATGCTACTTTAGCATCTAGCAGCCAGGCTAGCCATTTAATCGTGCTTCCTGTTTTTATGCTAAGCTAATATGCTGCTAGCTGTGGCTTCCCATTTAGCATAGTAACGAGTGTGGTATTGATTTTCTCATGTTACTTGGCAATGCATGCTACTTTAGCATCTAGCAACCAGGCTAGCTGATTACCCCTGCTTCCCATTAAGCTAAGCTGCAGGTGGCTAAGGATATGAAAGTGGTATCAATGGACCTCTTGGCAAGAAAGATGAACATGTTCTCAGAATTAATCAACTATTCTTTCAATAAAATGAAAACATGGTTTAAATGATGAATCTTTGACACAGAATTGATACATGTTGAATTACGATGTCGGACATTTAAAATGGCTTCGAGCCCTAAACTGCCCCTTGTATAGTTCTGGTTACTGATGACGGTCTAACCTCTGATCTCTTTCCCTCAGAGGATAAAAGCAGTGGCAGCCCCGGCGAAGTCCGGTGTGAGCTCTCGCCCCAAAGAGTACAACTTGAAGGGAAACGAGCTGACACAGCCCCTGGACCCAAACGGGAACAATGGCTTGATCAAGCCCACCCACACCATTGTAGAAACAATGATGTGAGCGCTCTCTGTGAGAGGAATAAGATTGTTGTGCTTTCTGCGTTATCATATTTGCTAACTTTGATCATGGTAGGTTTACATTGTCCATATATTCACTTTAGAGATACTCCGGATTGATTTCTATGAAGAGAGTTATTATTGTTGGTTTTTTTTTATTTTTTACTATATCATTGTTGTTGATGTTACACTTGTTGTTGCTGTAGTTGGCACTGATCTCAGTTTAGGCAGTATTTTGAGGTAGAACATATTCAGTGTTTACTACCTTTCTGTTGATTTCTGGAGAGATGAGGAATTTTATTTTATTTTTTTATTAGAAGAAATGATGGAATTCTCACTTCTCATAAATTAACTAACCTAAACAAGTTATTAATCGTGCAAATGTAAGAAAATGTTTTAACACTCTGACTTGATCGTGGCAGCCTCACTGCCGAAGCTAACTTCTAATCTATTATTGTTGTTGTGTATCCCACAGTGAAAATGAATGTACCTCTGCTTGCAGCAGAAGCAAACCAGCCACATCTTAAGAGTATATATCCATAACATGCTCGGTGGAAAAATACGTGAATTTTGCTTAACATCCTCCAAGTTCAACAAGGCCTTGGCCAAATACTGTGAGAAATGCATTCATAAGATACATCCTCTAAAACTACCAAGACAAAAATAATAGATAAGGAAAAATCAGATAAGGAAGAAAAAAGGAGAAATGGAAAGTGGCATTTTTAGAGTATTTGTACACTGCCTGTGTGACTATTATAGTCAGTCCCAGTGCATTTATTGAAACCTCTCTTTGCACTTTATGTCGTTTCACCTTTAATGTAGTATTTGTTGCAAGTATTGCAGATACATTTGCAGCACATTACAGGAGGAAATATTTTAGCTTCTTACTTTTTGATATTGTAAACTTTGATATACAGTATCTAGTTGTCCCATTGATAAGACAATAACAAAATAGAGTAGAAATTCAAAAAGTCAAATTTTCTGATTCATCATTTGTAGTAGGGCCTGTGAGAACATCACTTAAATTAATAACATTTTCTTTCTGAACAGACTGACAGCTCTCTCCCTCGTGCTCATTTCAATATCAGAACTACCACTGGATTAGTGTCTAATGTTCACTGTAGACTTTTGTTTGTAGAAGTTGAATTGTTTGTAATTCACATATGCCTTTTTGTAACAATTTTATACTGTACATCATATTACACCATCAATGATTTTACTTAAAACTCAGCAATCTCACTTTTAAAAATTAATAACATTGTGAGCCTAGATTACATTTTTCAGTGTGCAATGTTCATTGAAGCAATGACATTCTCTGCTCCTTCAAAATGCATCAGATTCAAAGTAAATTTAATGTTTATCACTGAAACAGCCTAAACAATGAAATGTAAAGTCCGAATGAGTTGTTATCCTGAAGCACGTGCAAGACTCATCACAGTACTGTGCGGCTTTGTCCATGGACATTTTGTGCTTGGAAATTCATGTGTACCAAAGTAATTTTGTCTCACAGTTGTCCCCTTTGAGATGCATATTGCATCATTCTATAGAGATTACAAATAAACATCTTTTTTTTCTTTGGATCTATTTGTCTGAATGATTCTTTTTTTCTCTCTAAATATTTCTGAGGCATTTTTATATAAATACACCTGCAAAGTAATTAATGTCCCTCTGTACATATGACACTAGTATACACTCAGTGACTTCAAGTACACCTGGCTGGACAATACAACTGCTCAAAGTCAACTTTTATGATAACTGCAATGTTTAGTTTTTGTTGACATGATCATGGTGTTAGTCCAGTGACATGTTTTAGAACAGAGGCTGTAGTATTTATATTTCTGCGTGTTTGAGCGAGATATTTTTTAGTTTGGGGTCTGCTGGTACTCAAAAGTACAGTTAGGTCAAATGTTGCATAGTTTAACACTTTTAATTTATGTACGTCACTGTATATCCAAAAATGAATCTCTTTTCTTCAAGCATCCTACAGATCCCCATCATTCCCCTGCTGTATCCCTGAAGTTCAGGTAGCATCATTACTGTGAAATACATTATGCTATAATTACCTTATACTGTAAATTCTGCAGATTAACAGAATTGTCTCTCATTCAGTTTTCTGCTCTTTCCTGTGTTTATGTAATGGAGGTATCACACGTGTATGTACAGATAATTAAAAAGATTGAATTTCAGTGCAATATCATCCCATCTGTCTTAAGATATCCGGCTCAGTGTCACTCCTGCAGGCATATCGCTGCAGTGCTTAAATTAAATACACGTGTGCACAGCCTCTGTGCTGTTTACTAAGTTGTTGCGTTCCTTGCCCACTGCCATGTATCATTTTAATGAGACTTGGACTGCAGTTCATAAGATCTTTTTTGAACTGCTTCCATTTACAACCTTCATCAATATATCTATTTTGAGGAGGAACCACTTGTACAAATGGCAGCACGTTTTGATCCCACCTCTCAAATAGCGCTCTATATTTATATTATTAATTTCCTTTGAAGGCCACCCATGCCACCCTGACTCCCACCTCCCCCCATTCCCCTGCGACAGCTTGTTGACACTTGTCCTAAATTTTTCAGGGTGTCTGTCCCACCATTAGTCTTACGCCCCCCACCCCCAGCAGGTGGGAACTGCATTGACATCTCACTCACAAAGGGAAGACTGACTTATTTGGGCATGAATGTGGCGTCCCCTTGTCTGTCCAAAGGCCATGAAAACACTGAACCCACAAAGACTTCAATTTATGCATTTAAAAAACAGTCAGACGCCAATGTCATCATCCTTGTGAGATATAGAGTCTAAATAATATTTCATTACACTGCTTCCAGTATTGAAGGTATTTTAGTCCGAACAGTTTGCAGTTCAATTAAAATCACCCAAAAAAACTTGGCATTATACCTTCTGTAAAATTTTGTAAACATTTCCTGGTTCAGTGTGAATCATCGCTGTGATTAAGTAAATTAAACAACACACTGTTTGCACAGCTGAGAAAAATCTGTCTATGGTTTCATAATTTTATTTCCATAAAAAGAAATACATTTCTTAGTTTATAATAAATTAAATAACAAAAATAAAATAATATCCAATTAATCTTTCAAGTTCTTTCGAATTGATTCTTGACATATTCGGGGAGGATGTGGAAATCAACCCAAAGAAATGTGCATCCACATTCAGTATCACAGTTTAAATGAAGACACTACACTGTATGTGCATGAACGATCAATAAAAATAAAAAAGCACTGCATACCATGATACATTATACAGTAAAATAAAAGGGTACAATAAATAAAATTAATATAAAACCTCAAAAATCGACCTCAGTACAGACATTTAATAAAAGACATGATTCAGAAATAAGATTTGAAGGATGAACCAGTCTCTGAGGCTGCTCTAAATAAAACCAATCAATCTCTCATGTTCACATCAGGCAAGACATGATACTAAATTAGTATTTATTTCCAGAGAGGCAGCTGGATCGACACGCCAGATTTGTTACACATATGCTTTATAAAAACACCATTTCATGGTAAAAAAGGGGGAAGCACTCTCACAGAAATCCAGTTGGTGCAGAGACTAATCCAGTGTTTTTTTTATGTTTTGAGGAAAAGCTATTCATGCATGCTTAACATGCTTATAGAATCCCACTGATGATCAATCCAGTCAGATGTAGGGTGAAATCGTTCATCACTGAAAATGTAAAGGCATTTCATCCTCTTCCGTAAAGGATGTGATTCTTTTAAGGAAAAATCAGCGACAGACCACAAACCATAAAAAATAACTATTCTGGTGCAATGCCATATACAGAACCTCAGACTCACAGTGAAAGTGAAACGTGAAAAAGTGAAAGTGAACTCTTCAAAATGTAGGCTGTGTATGCAAATGTGGTGTGATGAAGAAACTTGGAGAACGTGCATCTGAAAACAATCTGTGTGTGTGGATTAAAAGGAAAGTAACCAAACAATTGGAACAGGAAGGTTAGAGGGTCTTTAAAAGCATTTGTGGTATGAAGATATAAGGGCTTTAAATTATAGTTCATGATACTTGGAAAGTAGCTGGGAGCTTTCTGTCTATTTGGAGGCACTGTCCCCTCTGTGGGGCAGGCAGTGTGGAGGAGAGACTGGAAACAAGGGCAGTGAGCCAAGACATGGCTGAAATAACTCAGTCCATCAGCCCCCTCCTCCATCTATGGGTGGGTGGACATGTGTGTTCTATGCATATAGAACATTGCATGAGAGTCTTTTGTGCTCAACCCAAAGAAAAAAAATCCACTTTGCACAACTGGATTTTTGTTCTTTGAATCAGAACATGAATCCCCTTATAGGAAAGGAAGGTAAATGTATGCAGTGGCTACGTGCGTGCAGCGTTTGACTCACTCCAGAGCGGAGACGTGTGTGTGTGTGTGTGTGTGTGTGTGTGTGTGTGTGTGTGTGTGTGTGTGTGTGTGTGTGTGTGTGTCGACATCCTGGCTCCGTCAGAAGCCATGAGTCCCCTGTTATATAACTACATGTGGCTTTGCCTCTGGAGAGGGAAGGTGTTGTGGGGGAGGAAGGGAGGTGGGGCGATTCAGAGCCTCCACTGAATGGTACATAAAACAGGGAACAGTGAACACGTAGCTTTGTGAGTGACAAATGCTTTCAGAGGGTGGAGAGTGGCGGTTTGTGTTTGTGCATGTGAGAGGATGCTCAGCGTGCTGAACATGAGTGTGAAGGTCTCTCTGAGGTACAATGTGACAAACTAAACCGTGCGTGACATGTTTGGTGTGTGTCCCAGAACTGGTGTTTTTTCTATGCGATCACAGGGCGATGCTGCTGGTCATGTGTCCGGGAAAGCAGAACAGTGAGTTTGAGGGGTCGTCACAGTCGTCAGGCAGCCCGGTGTCTGCTGCTGCCAGTGGATTCCTACTAATGACCAAGTCCAGACTGTCTCCAGCCTCCATAATTAGGGGCACAGTCAGACAACAGTCCAAGTCCCTGGTTCTCACACGGTTCACCTGGAAGATCAGAGCCAATGAAAACTCATCGTTCAACGTGCTCTTATGTTCACATGAGACTAGTTTGACATTTTGAGACAGGAGAGAGTTGTTGAGCTTAGGGAAACCCCCCCACCAAAAATATGCTAGAACCACTTAAGCCAATTATCCTTTATCTCATCTGTTGAATCCAAAAGCTGAAGTGAGAAAAAGGAAAGATTCTGGTTGTGCCCTAGATTATTTTTTGTCCATTTCCCATTTGCTTGGAAATATCACAATAATCTCATAATAAGTCCTTTTGCTAAAATGGACATTTTTATCTAGCTGTTACACCACCTTCCACTTTTTATCCTAAACAAAGCTAACCAGCTGGGGCCTTTTATTCAGCACATATTTAGCATTCATGTGATTGGCTAATTAGTGAGATTTAGAAGTGCACAGAGCCTATAGGCATTGTTGTGTTTGCAGTCTTGATGCTAAACCAAGATAACCATCTTATGCTTTTTATTTAGCATTTATAGACATTATAAGCTAATTATTGAGTGCTACAAGTGCACAGAACCAAACTAGCCATTGTGTCGTTTTCAATCTTTATGCTAAGCAAAAGACGTCCAGCTTAATACAGACTAAACACTTATACGAGTGGTATTGATCTTCTCATCTGAGTCAAGAAAGCAAACAAGACCATTTTCCCAATATTGATTTAAAGATCAAGTCTATGGGCAAAAATCATAGACTGTATATAAAGCTGAATGACACATGTCCACTTCCTCCCACAATCCAGAGATGAAACTAAAACATAAATGATGAAAATGCCGGAATCTTGCACATTACGAGCCAGAATGTGCAGAGTAGTGATCGGGTATGGAGCTGATGGCAGCAAGGTCTTGCCAATACACATGCTCGACCAATCATGAGTCAGTCTCAGATGTTTATATGGCGTCAAATAACTGAATAAAAGCAAACTTACCCAAAGAGGACCGAAGGGCCCAAAGAAAAAACTAATTTGTACTATATATTGTAGATGATCACACACTAGATTATTTTATATAAAATTTTCTGCCAATAGATGCCTTTCATCTAAATCTTACTCACTGAATCTTTAACGTGTGCGTTGATCCATGTCACAGTGACTAACATGGAGGAGGCAGGCTTTATGAGCTATATTGAGATGCTTTAGTTTCACTTGGGTGGGGGCTTCCATGTTGGCCATCTTTTATATACGATCTATGGTGAGAACAGTACCTGAAGAATGCGGTCGAAAGGCTTGAGACCCGCCTGATCAGCTGGGCCGTCAGAACGGATCATGTTGACAAAAACCCCTTTCTCCAGGAGCCCGTCAGATACACTGAAACCAAAGTCATGGCTCTCAAGGTCTTTCCGTAGGGTCACCTGCAAACACACAGGACCTTAGAGTTACACAGAGACTACATTGCACAGTCATAAGTATCAAGAGGCTTCTACGCAGATTTGAAGGTTCAGTGTGTAGAATTTAGTGACATCTAGTTGTGAAGTTGCATGTTGCTGCTGAATACCCCTCACCTCATCTTCCCCTTCCGAACATGACAGAGAACCTGTGGTAGCTTCAGTCCAAAGTATTTAGTTTGTCCTGTTTGGACGGCTGTAAAACACATGGCGGCCTCTGTAGAGAGGACCTGCTCACGAGTATTTAAATATAAAAGGGTACATTCTAGGGTAAAGAAAAGAAACCACTAGTGAAAACATCAATAGGATTATTCATATTCAATTCCTGCCAATACATCCCTTTCAACTAAATTGAACACACTGAAACCTTTAGGGAATGGTCAAACATGGACATCTGTAGATATCATGTAGAAGTCAAAAACAATGGATCCTCCTTAGTCCCAGTAAGAATGCCGACTCCTCAATGCTTGCATTTTCAAAACTTCACATCTGTGCATCTCACAGGGTGAGAAGCAATGATGACAGCAAACAGTACTCACATGCACCTGCAGGATATGCTGTAATAATGGGTGTTGTGTGTTTCTGTCACACACAGTGCAGGTCCTGACTGGCCAGGTATCCACTGGGTCCAGTTATAATGAACTGGATGCAGGAGTGAGTCAAGTGGAGGAGGCACGCAGGTTTAAACTTTATAATGGGCGAATTCCCTCAGGACGCTGTTGTTTGTACCTTGTTCATCAAGCTGTGAGAGCAGTTGACGGAACAGTCAATAATGATATAGATGTTTTGGTCATGCGGTGGATCACATCTTGCAGATTGCATTACAAGCAATATATATGTATATTGTAAATAGAGTATGAGGTTTGCATAAAATATGAGAATATGAATATGGGAATATGAGAAGAGGGCAACAGCCAATGTTGGAGGGTTTCGGGTGTAGACAGCGGAAATCTAAGGAAGACTCCATCTTCCATTGGTCATACACTGTTTATAGTCTGATTCTTTTATCACATGAATCCAACATCTCTCCATACAAAACTAGGATATTTAAGTGGGGACTTTAGGTCCAGAGGACATTTTGGTGAATCTGTACTTACAGAGATCTGCATATGAATGCATTTCAGTCAATGGGTTTTGCCACACATACAGTTTACCTAAATGGACAATTGGTCTGCTCAAACGTAATTGTTCAAACTAAAAAAGGAAACCAGAGGACTTTCAGACCAAATCTTGTCCCTTGCCAACAGATTCTCACATGTGGAATGTGTTTGTAGAGATTAGATTTTAAGACCTTCATGTTTAGAGTCACTCTGTACACAAACTACCTTGTGCAGTGCCAGAGTCGTACTGGACAAACCGTCGCAGAGGTCCCCTCTGCCCCTGGCTGCTGCATCTCTGGCTCCAGTTGATGTGTTCAAGCAGCTTTTAGTCTTTGACTCCGTGTGGTTGATTCCCTCTCTTTTAATGGGACTAAATTCAGACTGAAACATCAAGTCTTCGTTGGTCTTGGTCTCCTCTAGGTATAGACTAAGCGCACTACCTGTCATGGATGCCTGAAAGATCACAAAATGAAACCAATTATTATATCATCATGCAGTAAAAAGACACACAAAATGATATTTCGACAGGTATACACAAGCATAATCCCTTATACGTCACACAATGTCTGATGAGAGGCAGAGGCTTTGCACAAACCCTTGGTCAGTATGGCAGCGAGTGCCCAGCCTGTCTTGTCAGATTTAATAACAGATTACACACTCTGGTGATTATTATAATGCTTCATCTGGCATGATCATTTAGGTTGACACTGGTCATGAGGATGAAGCAGATGGAGGAGAAAAGGAAGCAGGAGAGGGAGGGGTGAGCGTACCTCCAGCTCCCTGAGAATCTCTGATTGGCCGCAGGTCTCGAGGTCCTGCAGAGCCTGGGACCAGAAACTGTCGTCCTGGTTTAGGGTGCCATGGCAACGAGGGGGGCTGATGAATCTATATGACAATGCAGGAACCAGAACATGAGAGCAGCCCTGCAGTCTGGAGGCCGGTACTGCATACAAAGGCAGCATGGGAAACGTCGTTTTTTGGGCCGCACGCTGGAGAGTCCCTTTGAAAATCTCTCAGGACCAACAGTGAGGGTTTATCGTAAATTCTCTCAGTTGGAGTCCGCTAGATTAGATAAAGCTCTTAAAAGAGTTCAGGTTTACAAAAGTAACGTCATCCCCCCAAAAAATACAAGAAAGTGAGAACATGTGACAGAAAAGTTCAGGGGGAAAAGGAATTTAAATGTAATTTAAATCCATGGAGGTTTTGACGATTTTTGTTGTGGACAAGGGGTGACAGAAAAAGATGCGTCTATGTGAAAACACCAAAGAGTTCGTGGGCAGTTAGTAAAGCAGATGAGAGAGAGAATACCTGAGAAAACAGAAAAAAGGACAGTTTGGAAGAGCACAAAATATGAAAGCATACAATACAAAATGAAGAGAAAGTAACTCAGACAGTGCAGTTTGCTTATGTCAGTGAATTAAAAAGAAAGGTGAAAGAAAGAAGCTTTTGCTCGTGCACAGTGGTGGAAAAAGTACTCCGATCCTAAGAGTAAAAGCAACAATGCACCTTGTAAAAATAAGCTATTACAGGTAAAGTCCTGCCTTCAAAATCGAACTCAGGTGCAGAAGTATTATCAGCTAAATACACAAATATAGAATTATAACACACAATTATAGTCTTTTGCATCATTATGGAACACAATCATATTGAAAAGTGACTCCTTGAATTTAATAGGTGGTTGAATCTACTTCAGCTGCAATAATCTCAGACAAGTACTTCAGGGAGCTGTAGATGAGAGCTGCACAAATGTTCAGGAGGAATTTTTCTTGAAGTCATTCCTCAGTAGTTCTGCTGGGTTTATTTCTGGGCTTGGACATCAGAAGGTGCAATCACTTCATTTGAATGAATTCTGTTAAATATTTCATTGGTCCCAGAAGGGATTCAAAGTGTCAAGCTGCTCTTTGGCAAACTTCAAATCACATCTTTTTGAAAAGGAGCAGCAGCTTCCTCTAACACTGTCAACGCCATGCTTCATGCAACCACGCACCGTGATTTCCACAAGTTGGACTCAGACAATGACGTTAAACAGCTCCCATGATTCCTCCGTCTTTACTTCACTGAGCATCTGGGTTTTGTTTTCGGAGCCATCTTAGCTGGGTGCCCGCCTCAAGGGAGAGCAACAAATTGTCTCCATCTACAGACACTCTGCTACCTCTGCTGCACGAGATTATGTTTTCACCCCTCTCTACAGGTTTATGCAAAAACAACAACATTTCCAAGAAACTTGGTGTGAAAAAGGGAAATGGGCTAAGAAAGAAGCCATTGCATTTTGGTATGTATCTGCACAAAGAAGTAAATCCAAGAATGTTTTATCATATCTTGACAAACTTTTTTTTTTTTTTTTTTAACAATTTCTAAGCGAATAATTCATGAATCAGGCAGATTCAGAGAGCTGCTGGGCCTCTGCAGAGGGACGTCCTGGCATTCTAATTGAACTATATGGAATATTAATATTTGAACCCTTTGACATTGCTTTTCAACCCTTTCCAGTTTTATGCAAATTGAGAATTCACAATCTACTTAAGTACAGTTTTCCACCACTGTTTATATACATACGATGTGTGTGAATGATTTAAATTAAATTAAAAATGTTTTTTAACATAAAACAGGAAAGAAACTGCACTCACCCTGGTATCTTGTCCCACTCATCCTCACTGAATCTCCCGTCGTACAGCGCTGAGTGGTGGACTAAACCTGCAGAGCTTGAACTTGTGTGGCTCCTGAGCTTCGTGCGCCTCCAGTCATTTGGATTGAGCAATATATCAGATGCTTTGTGAAGATATGTACCTAGAAATATGTAAACAAGAAAAAGCTACCGATCTAAATTGATGAAGGGAAATTGGTCATTTTTAGGCAGAGACCATCCAAGCGGCCTCACCTTGGCTGCTGTAGCCTGCGTCAAACCCCGAGCTGTCCCAAGAGCTCATGGCAGAGTCTATACTGGGAACAGTGGCAGAATAGACTTCAGAGTGTTTACTCATCTTATGGGAGTCCATCAGTTCATCCTCTGGATCACTGAGAAACCCAGCTTCTCTGTCCGGAGGCGGTCGACCATCAGACTCTGAGAACAAACACTGACTCAGGTCAGGATTACGGCCAAAATTCACTTTGACATTTTTAAAACATGTAAAAAAATACTTAAAAACATAATAAAAGCATGGTTTATAGGATATTTTCTGTTTTTACAATCTTTTTTTCCCTGATTTACATTTGTGTCTGTGTTGTCTTCTGTCTTATTTAATCACTCTTCCCATTTCTCCTCCTCTTTATTACTAAACATGCTTTTTAAATCAACTTAATGATTTATGCCAGGAAATTTATAAAGAAGTGAATTAGATTGCTTCAAAATAGTTGAAGACTTTTTCATTGTAAAATGAACCTGGTAATTAAAATAATGTCTTTGCCCATGGAGCAAACAACATGAAAAAGAAAAGGGAAAATTAGTTTGTCAACATTATTATCATTCTATCTGCCTATATCTATAAAAAGCCAGAAAAAAATTGAAATGAAAAAACAGAAGAAAACATACTGTCTGCTTGTTTTTTGATCTTGAGGGTGACTGACTCCCCGGCCATCTGCAGGAGGTGGATGGCCTCGCTCAGTGGCTTTCCCTTCAAACTGACCCCATTGATGGCCAGGACTCGGTCCCCTATATGGATGGCCCCGGTCCTGCAGGGTTAGGAGGAGACAGAGATACCAGAGTATACCAGACGGTACCAACAGGCAGGCCAGGAGACCTGTCATGCTGCCAGTATGTTGACGGAGACGGACACAAAGAGGCTTCTTGTTATAGGCAAAGACCAGACAGCCATTGTTTACTGTCTCGCTTACTAAAAAAAAGTGGGTTCCAAAGTGGGCCACTACAGATTTGACCAGCCTCTGTTTAATGTAAGCATCAACATCTTGATCCTCATTGGTCACCCCCCCCTCACCTCTCCGCCAGGCCTTTCTTAGTGAGGCCAGAAATGACGATGGGGTCAAAGGGCTCCTCTGTGCCAGAAATCGTGATGCCCAGTGGTCCATTGTATCTCTTCAGCTCCACTGTGTAGATTATAGAGCCGGACATCTCCAACTCATCTACGGCACATGGAGAAACACTTAAAATCATCTATAAGATTCAAGGTTATATAAAATGTAATGAACCCTGAGGAGACACAAAACTATTTAAGTGAATAATTTAATGGAGCAATACTGTAGGTACTTCATTTTAGTTTTACTGAACTGTGTTTGATGACAAATATACTTATAGTGGCAGGACTCCTGGAAGGGGTCATACATCACAAGTAGATTGGGATTCACTAGTTTATTTTTTATAATTTTATTAATAAATTAATATAAAATCTTAAAAATAACAACTACAGCTGTAAAGTAAATGTAAAAAGTAAAATATTTCTGTCTAAAATGTGGACTATACATTATGATGATACATTATTATACTTGTGTGCAGTACTTGATTTAATTTACTTGGTCACTTTCCACCACTGCTCATTTTCTGGCCTGATGTGTGTTTTAGGGGATTAATGTACCAATGTTGTCCTCGTCCTTCTGGATCCGCAGTTTGACCATGTCCTCAGCCTGCCGAAGGACGTGCATGGCGTCCTCCATGGTGCAGTTCTCCAGACGCACGCTGTCGATGGCCAGCAGCCTGTCTCCGGGCTCCAGGGTGCCTGTTCTGCCGGACACAAGAGCGAGAGGATCACAACTGTTAACTGGGAGCAGAGAGTTGCAGCTCCTGACTCATGGTGAGAATCCTATTAGCCTGGTGTCTCTGTGGGATCCTTGGGGGTGACCGTAACTTCACCCTCAACCTAATCAACACTGAGCCTTACTGAAATTCTGCTGCTCTGCCCTACTGATCCTGTTATGATTGCTCAATCCAATTAGGCTAGTATTACACAATAGATTCACAAAACTATTTTATTGCTCATGAATATCCCCACATAAGCCTCGTTCAGCCTGAAAAAACCTGGCTCCCTACAGCGACCAGCACCCTGAAGGCAGCAGACTGTTTTCCTATCTACAAGACAATGCAATTGACTTCTTTGTTGACAGGACCTACCTGTGTGCTATACTTCCTTTTCTGATGTCGGAGATGATGAGGGGTTTGCCAGGTTTCTTGCTTGCTGGACAAACAGAGGAAAAATGAGTTATATGATGATAAAACCACTGTAACTGTGAACAAAAATCCTCCTTTTCTCTCTGCGGCTCTGCTCATTCTTGGCCTCCTGTTTTCTGAGCTAGTTAGTGCAGAAGGGTCACAATGAATGCTGGTACAGACCATTATTATTCTGAGGTAATGAGGTATGCGCGCTCATGCTTTTGCAACCCTGAGTTTTTATGGATCAGAGCACACTGATTCAAAGGATGTTTACAGTATGCTGGTCTGTGTGGGATCTTTGAGCAACACTGCCCCCTGCTGTACACTTTGTTGCCAACAAACTCACCACTGATGGTGATGCCCAGCTCCACTCCTCTCCTCTTGGGTAGTTTTACATGAAAGGTGCCACTGCTGGGAACCACCGACTCTACGGGAGATTCAGGGTAAAGATTTAAGCAGGAAGGCACAGATAAACAAGAGTCCACGACATTAATCAGGTTTAAATGGAGGATATCGGCTGGAGGGTACCTGCAACATCAAACTCAACCTCCACCGTGACCTTATTGGCCAGAGCCGAGTCTCTGAGCAGCTGATGAGCTTCCTCCAGAGTGCCATCTTCAGTTAGGATCCCGTTGATGGACAAGAGTCTGTCTCCAACCTGCAGCAGCCCACACCTTCACACAGACGCACAAAACAACAGGAAAGTTTATATTGTTGGAGAACTTATTAATGGACGACAGATTTTCAGTGAGCCTATGTACACTCATGGTTTTGATTTGACACTGTGTAGTTAAATTCAACACCTTGTTATGGGATTGTTTAAAAAACTTCTATAAAACAGAACACAGCCTCTGGGTTTGAGATAAACACTTTTCAAACTGACCTTATTTGAACCTGCAACATAACCTCAGACAGACAGGAAAAACAGAATCACACACATCACACGTTTGATCAGACCCCTATTTGTGAGGGCAAACGCAGAAGCACTGTCAACTGATATTAATTCACTGACGACCGCTACTCATTAACCTTGCATGGAGGCTGAAGCGCCAGCATCACAGACGGATGCTGTACTTGACTCACTCCTGTCCAACCCGCTGCTGGACTCATGTTATCAGACCTCTGGGAGAAGCCCCAGCACTGGCATTAATCTTACCAGACAAGGACAGATACGACACACTGGCCTGATCAGAGCTGTGTGGTAATTGGACCTAAACACGTAGAGTCGATCAATATAATAAATACCAATACAAACACTGGCTGCATCAATGGACCATGGATCCACTGCTGCTGCCTGAGTGCTCTCTGAGTACCCTTGTAGTTTAAGTATTTAAAGCTTCCTGATGAAGGTAAAGTCAGCAGCCTCAGACCCTCCGAGGCCCCACAAGCCTCAGGTCTATCCTCCTCTCTCTATCTAGATAATTTAATTTGTCAGGTTTGCAACACTGAAGTAGATTATGAACTATGTTGCTTCCCTGAGGCTCTGGTCATTAAGAGGGAACATGTGTCAAAATGACTGAGTTCATTATAAAAGCTCATTGTCAAGCTGTGTTTTTACTAAACTGCTTTAAATATTTGTGTGAGTGTCAAATTAATCACACGCACAAAACCTCAGTTAACATTATAACCAATACTGGCAATTATTTGAACTATCATTACACTGACACGATCATTATTTTCTTACATTTTTGTGTAAAATGTCAACAGCAACAAATATCCATGAGAATTTCCAACAGCACAGGTTCACATATTCAGATTTCTTATTTTATACGACCTACTGTCAACAACTCTTTTTATCATCACAGAAAACTTTATCGAATAATCACACTGGAGTATTGTAGCTTAAAAACTATAACAGTGTTTAATTGATTGATGAAGGTCAATAGGGGTCCAACAACAGTATCTCTAAGGTCATAGAGTAAAATCAAAATCAAGTAAAAGTCAGAGAATCACCAAACTCACTACAGGGTTCATTCTCTGGGGACCATGAATGTCTGTGTACACTTGTATGACAATAGAGTCGGGGTGGAACAAATTGTTGATTCAGAGTGAGCACAGCTAAATCTAAATAAAGCAAGTATTATATGGAAAAGAATACATGTTACTAACATTTGATTTGTGACCCGTTATGTGTGTCCAGTCCCAACATTAGATAAATGCGCCGGGCTATAATCAGACTTATTTTTTCAAAACGCATGAGGTTTGATTGCAGAGCTGAATGATCAGCAGCCCTCTGGTTCAAGGTGACTCCCTGTGTTTACTGGTTAGGTGTTTAAGCCTGTTACCTCTCAGCCGGGCTGTCAGGCTCAATAAAGCGGATGACTGGGGGAGCAGACAGGGTTTCTGTGGCAAAGACACCCCCCTGCAGCTGGATCCCGAAACCTGTGAGCGGATCCCCCCTCAGGAAGACCTCGCTCGTTTCCACGTGAAAAATCTGTCCCCCTGGGCCAACAGAACTGGACGCCAGAGACACTGAGGGAGAGAGAGGAGGGGGGACGCATCAGAGAGAGATAGTGGTGGAGACGTGGCAGATAAATGGAGCACGAGAGGGATTGTCAGGGACAGAAAAAACTCAGAAGGGTTAGGGGAAGAGACAGTCACCCACAGAGACAGCATGGGAAGGGAATGAGTCACGTATCAGAGTCTATGTCAGTCATGTTTACGTCAGTGATCAGTCACATCTGTTCACACAGTGTGGTGGAGAAGCAGGAGACAGAAAGGTGTTTCAACAGCTCTGCAGCAAAACTTAAAGGGTTAGCACAAAGAAAATGTTTTCTCACTGAATGTCTGATATAGATTCTAAACCTATAGGCTACATTTTAATGTCTGTCACTGGCATGGAGGCACAACAAAAAGGTCTAAAATGTCTCCAACACAGCAGAATGGTTAGTTTTGATGTAAAATGCATGTTATATTAAGTCAATGGTTAAAAACTTGCAGAACCAATGATATGCCCCTTTAAAATTGCAATAAACAAAAGAAAGAAATTAGCAAGCTAAATCTCAGTTTAACTGCCGTCATTAAATTTAAACCTAAAATAAAGGCTAAAATAAACTTTTGGTGCTGTCTGTTTTAAAAGTTTATCACTTTAATGTCCTGTGAATGAATGTGTCCACTGATATACAATATATGTACGGGAAAGTATTTAATAGTAAATAAAGTCTATATGTTTGCACACAAGTTCTTTAACAAACAAAAAAACTGAGCTTGGATTGTAGAGATCTCTGGAAAATCATGTTCAGTGCAAACAGAAGTCTAAGTCTAATTCGCTTCTATTGAAGGTTTGTAAATTTAAATTAACACAGTCTAATTCAATAGTCTTGCAATAAATCCTGTCTTCACGGAGGAAATTGTTTAATAGAGGAGCTGATTCAACTTCTTGATCATTTTGCTCTTTGTGGTTCTGGGGTGTTTCTGTTATTCACTCTATTCTCATTGATATAAACTGGGCGGCCAAAATCACAGTAACAATAGAAACTGTAGTAAAAACCTTTTAAACTGGAACCTGAGTAAATTTGTCAAACCTGACAAAACTATTTCCTCAAAACTACCAAATAACAAGAAAATATGTCTCTTTGTCATTTGCTTGAACTGACCCTGTAATGTGGAATTTAAAAAAAAAGGAAAAGAAAAAGGTGGTGTTGTCATACGTGAGCTCTTGTGGTCCTTCTTCCTGTTCCTCCTCTTGCCGGTCGAGCTGCGGGGGCTGTTGGGAACCATCAGAGGGATGGAGCAGGGCAGTGTGTTGCTGCCCTGGCTGCTGAAGCCTGAGGTGGCTGTGGAGGAAGGGGAGAAGCCCCCACTCACCAGAGCTGCGAGGAGACATTGGTACAGTGAGCGTAAACCACATGACTTAATCACAGTAGCAGCTACAGCATACAGTCCTGGGAACATGCAACAAAAGAGATGTGGTAACAGTGTTGGAGGAATAAGATGAAGAGAAAAGGCTCCTGCTATGGTGTCTCGCCAGTAGCACTGCTGTCACAAGTGATAACTTACATTTGCAGTGGTCTTGCTGGTTGTGTGGGTGGCTGGGGCTGCTCCATGTCTTGCTGTGGCTGGCGTGTGGGGGATGGCAGTAGTTGCTGCTTTGGTCCCAGTGATGATGGTTGCTCTTCTGCACTTTTACTGCAGCAGCAAAAGAAATCCATTAAGTAAGACCAGATCCCCTCTAGATCTAGCCGCACACGTTTCTAAATACTACCCATGAAATCACGCTTCCATTCGCCACGTCTAAATTAGCACCTCACCACACAGAGCCTGGAGGCTGATTGGGAGCAGAGTAATTGATATTTAATGTTGTAATCCTGTTGTTTAAATGTATTTTGATGAGCATCTGAGAATCAGTTAGACACTGGTGGCTGAATGGGGAGTAGCAAAAAAAGAACAAATCTTACTTTTACTAGCAAGCTTCCACAAAGCTGAGTGCAGATTGGAGATCATTTTTATCATTTCATTTTCCAAAGAGTCCAAAGGTGCAAAAACACTGTGAGAGAGTTGACTGCTGGGCATGATGACAGAGAGAGAGAGAGAGACTCTGCTTGGATGCATGTGTCTTCACCTTGATTGGGCACAGCTGAATGCTTGATCGTTGATGATGCGGGGCCAGTGTCTGCAAACAATTTGTTCTGATTGTGCTGAATTTTTATCTTTTCCTTGATTCATATGCATGTGTTTGTTTTTCTTCTGAGCATTTCTGCTGATGTTGCTTTGAACCAAAGGAAGATCAGAGATTGTTGTTAAAGGGATCTTTTAACAACAAAAATTAAAATTCACACACTATCTACTCACCACTGTGAAGCTGGAGGAGGGGGTGAAGTGTTTGAGTCCACAAAACACTTGAGGAGTCTTCAAATGTAAAAAAAAAAAAAAAGACATGCCTCCATACTGCTCCTGTGGTGTCATCCACGTGTTTGCAAGCCCTGACATTCACATTCGACTTGAAACGATGGAGGCATTTTATGATTTGTTAATTTTTTCTATCTTTGAAGAAGTGGGCGCCATTTCCTTTAATTGCATTGGATTTGGCTGCAATGCTGTTGTGTTTTGTGGAATCAAACACTTCACCCCCCCTCCATCGTCACAGTGGTGAGTAGATAATGAGTGAATTTTCATTTTCCTGTGAACTATCCCTTTAATTCTAAACTGCATCTTATCCCACATGTCAAATCCTCATTCACTCAAACAGCATCTATGAAGTATATCTAAAGGGAAGCTGACCTACTGCGAGACACACACACCTCAATAATTAACTTTCCTTTGCAGATTCACGCAGCTAAATTTGTCACTGAGTGTAACATGTGACAGTAATCCTTGCTGCTTCATTTGCAGGGGTCTAATCGCTGACAACTCGCACATACAGACTGGGGGGGGGGGATTTGCTGGGGACTACAGTAGTGCCTGGGATGTTTGCCACATTCAGGGGACCTGGTTTAATCTGACTGTATATAATCCGAATACATGCAGGAGAACCTCAGGCCCTTCTCCAGAGAACTGGTTTCTATTGGACTCAGTCAAACCTGTAAAGCTGTGGCTCTGCCGGCTTATGCTAAGCCCACCTAGGGGAAGCTCTCCAAGAAATGGTGTTTTCAGTCTGTGCTGGTGGTAGGAAACATTAACTCTTAATCTCTTAGTGGCCATATCAGTCTTATTAAATCCCCAGAGGAGATTAGACAAATTGCATCTTATAATCACGTCTTGTCCCGAAGGGGAAACTGTAAAGATATCGTCCTATCGTGACGATTGAATTTAAATTTCTAAAGACAAGATTCATGACTGAAATGTTATAGAGGAATGACGCATGTGCTGCTTTGAATGGAAACAGTTCAATAGTCAACATGAGCCCATACAGAGATGGCCTGAAGAGTATTTATATATCTTCATTTACTCAAACAAACACATTTCTGATCCACACTGGTCCACTTCATTTGAAGTGGACTGTAATAAAATGACAATGGCCAATGAGGCATGGAAGAGACACAACACTCATTTTAATCAATCAATTGAGATGTTATATTACTTAAACATGTCAAAATATCATAAGAATATGTATAGATTTAAAAATCAATCCATTGGAAAGGCCAGTCCGGAGGATTTAAATGTCAGTGGATGAGAAAATAGAAAAATATATATTGAAATTTGTTGACATGATGATTTATCGTCATTTTTTTTTACAAAGCAGTGTTTTCTCTCATTCGGATTTGTTGTCCATTGGAATCGACAAATAGAATAACACAAACTATTTTAAGTAGTTTTTGGATTGCTACTGATTTCTGTGTACATCTTACAGAATTACATTATTATTATTATTTTGTGTTAGCACAATTATTCTGATCTGAATGAGTACATTTTCACTGTGGTCTAAGTACTCCCTCCAACACTGGTTCTTTAGAGGATTTCACTCTCTATTAATCTCAGAAACTGATTAGGCACATGTGGAAAAAAAGTGTCAAAGGCAGATGGAAGAGCAGCCTGCAAGCTGGACCAGGCAAATACATGAAGAAAGGGATCTAGAAAAATATTAGAGAGGATCCTGTCATCCCGTTAAACTGCAGCTTATTTTCTTTGTCATGTAGAATGATTCCTCCCATGCTCACATGCTAAGTAGCTTGTGCAGCTGCTGACCCACAAATAGGTCTGCAGAACATGTCACGAACATGATATCCGACAGAGAATGCATGCGTGTGTGTGTATCTGCATGTGTGTGAATCTTGTTGGTATGCATAAGAGGTCAAGTGCGACGGTAAGGGGATTGTGGCCAGCAGCATGCACACACATACGCACACACAGTGGCTGATTCACATGGAAGAGGGCATGTGGGAGGCAGCCATGGCTCTTTATGGCTGTAGGTAATGCAGCTAAGAGCAGAACAGTCACAATAAGGCGAGGGGAACATGCTGGAGCTGAAGTCTGCTACTGTAGATTTTCTACACAGAACAAATTACATCAAAAGATTTAAATGTGTTAAAACCATTACACTGTCCTGCAAATTTGTATTTTTATAAAACAGACACTGCATTTTAACCTGTTTTGTAAGTAGTTGTTTTTAACAGTCCCTTCTTATGTTCCTGCTGTTTGGTTAAGATGTGTGCTATATCTTTGTGTTTAAATGTGAATTGTTGAGCCCTGTCACTTTGGGACAGACAATAAAGTTTATCCATCTATCCATGTATAGTGTTCCTTATAATGGTCAGCCCACCTACACACATATTTTAATACTAACATCCTTTTATATGTAAAATTATCATTATAACTAAATCAAATTACTCCATTAAAAGTAAAAGGGTCCAAATCCAAAATACTGCTCAGAAAAAAATTAAAATACAGAAATACTATGAAATACGATTATACATAATGTGTAAGTAGAACTATACTGTTGTGGCTGCACAAGAAGAAGCTAATTTTAACAACTTCATATAAAGATTGATTATCTACACCAGAGTTTCTTCTAGTTTGAGTCCCTCCAACGGATCACAAGATAAATCTAAGGATCATCAAATAATTAATGGGAAAGAAAAATTAGATCACATTTTTTTTGCCTCATCTGGCTTTAAACTGTCCCTTAAATTTAACCGACTGAGAAGTTTAAAGAGGAAAAGTATCTTTGGTAGTTATGTTAAATAACCGACTGTAAAGTAATGAATCTAAATGTAGCGGGGGGGTTAAGTTTTGTCAGACAGAAACTGGTCATGTAAAGTTGTCATCTTGAGCTCTGGAAGTGATGTTTCCACAAAATGTCCCTGGGACTCTCTGTGACAGTTTCTGCCACATGATGTAATGTCTCACACAGTTTGCTGTGTTTCTGTGTCAGCTGCAGGACATACAGTACCTGTGTCCTGTGGCCTGACAGGAAGTCTGCTCTGACTCGCTGGAAGAATCTCTAGTTTGACGACATCTGAGGTGCTGGCAAGTAGCTGCGTGGCCTCCATCAGGGAGCAGTGCTCAGTGCTGGTCCCATCTATGGACAGGAGGATGTCACCTGCATGCAGCGCTCCGCACCTGACAGTGAGACATGAGTCAGACTGAGCCAGGAACGTTCCCATTGGAACAGTATAACACAAGAGCCTGGTTTCACCTTTCCACCACACTCGCTGCCTTTATCTTGTCGATGATAATGACTTGTTTGCTCCTGTATATTGTTGTGGTGAGGCTGATCCCCAGGCTGGCAGAGGGACCCTTCACTATCTCCACCAGCAGAGGGCCTGAGGCTTGCTGCACCGCCTCTGAAAAGGATAACACACACAGAGGGGATGGAGGCAAGATTACTGGATGTGTCTATAGTCAGGAACATCACACAATCATTACACCACTATGGTCAGGTTCACATTTCCATTGCATTACAAATAATTGTCAGTGATATATTGACACCCGAGTACATTTATCAACATTTTCTCACATTCAGAATATTTCACCCAATCCATTATGGGAACTGTAGGATCAACCGAGGGACTAAAACTGAATGGCTGACACCACCTCTGATATTTAAATGTTGATAATTATTCTGAATGAATTGTCCCAACTTTAAAACTTCCCAACCCAACTTCTTTACAAGTGCAACACTAAATCTCTGGAGTGGTCCTTTAATGCACAGCTATTGATACACATTATGTTTTATTTTACTGAGGCAAACTAAAAAATATCCATGTAAACGAATGTACCGGGAAGTCGTCTGCCTGAAAAACAAAAGACAAGCACTGCAATGACAGAAAAAAGAAATTTTTCTAGAACAAACAGAGATTAAACCTGCTATAATTCAGGAGAGGAGAGAGACATTATAATAAAACACTGGATATCACCCGTCTACCCTTTCTCTGCTGAAGTGTGCTCTCGGGGCCCGAGTGACTCCCCTGGTGGCGTCCCTAGCACCGACACTCCCCCCACATCCACACAGCCAAACGGCCACATTATTTACCCTCAGAGCAACGCTGCCCTACCATGCCTCCACATATTCCCTGTGTTTGTGTGCTCACCCATGACAGAGACGTCATACTCAATCAGGAACAGAGCTTCCTGGCCGCTCTGCATCAGCATAGTCAAAGCGTCAGCGTGCTTTTCTCTGTTTAAAGGCATCCCGTCTATGCTCAATACTCGGTCCCCGGCCTTCAGAGTGGCCTCTCTGGAGAAACACACGGGAGGAGAAACACAGAACATGTTTGACCAGCACGAGATGCTCACACAGGCGTTGAAGCACCGGTCACAGTAAATCATTCAAGAGTTCCACATGAGAGTTCCCTCCCAGGTGAGATGAAGGATAAACAAGATAAATGGCCATAAAAGTCTTTGATGGTGAATTATGTCTGCTCCACTGTTTTGATTCTCGCACTTTTCATGGGGAAGTGCAACGAAGCGTTAGCCTCAGGATGAGCACTGCCCTTTCTGCTTGGGAGATAACATACGCTATATGTGTAGCAGCCACAATTTCATGCAGGGGCCTGAGAACACACTAATTCACAGGCCACACTAATGTGCACATATTGTTGTTTGAATCTGAAGTAATTCTTAAAAATAAGGCAATTAGTAAAACGCATATATATATATATATATATATATATATATATATATACACACATCCAAATACACACAGTATGGAAACACATGCATGCACAGACTGTCATTTGAATAGGCTCATTCATGCATGATCAAGAGATAAAATGGATACAAACCATATAAATAGCCTTAATTGACACACTTGTGCACGCACATACACACGCACAATGCTAGTGAGCTAGTTCAAGCAGTCAGCTCACTCTCTACAATCCTCTATTATACACACCCTCCCACTCTGCTGGTCTACTTAAACTGCAAAGATTTCCCATCTCTCCCTTTGCCTGTCAATGCCTCTGCTGCCCTGCGTCGATTCAGCCCCTCCGCCACCCCAGCATCCACCTGTACGTTCCGACATGGATGAAGATATTTGCTCATCACTTAAGTCGGAGCCTAGATGCCCAACTCTATGTGTGACTATGTTCTGCTGCTGCTGCTGCAATAGACATTTCAAACCTGAGTTGCGCAGATATATGTATGTAACGTATATATGTCCTTACCTGTCAGCAGGACCCCCTGGTCTGACGTAGGTAACCACCAGTGGACGAGACCTGCGCCAGTCTTCATGGAAGCCTCCTGAAAATCCAAAACTCATAAATGACTAAATCACTGCAAAAATAAAGCTGACTATTCCAACTGAATTGTTCATAAAAACAACTTCAGCATGCACGTACCTCTCATGACAAACCCAAAGCTGTTTCCCTCCTTGTGTAAACACACCTCTATGGTTTTGGTAATGACTCCTGCGGGGGTCTGAACTGAGAGTAAAGAGGAAATGAACAATTATTACTATAAAGTTTAAATAAACGCTTTAAGGTTGTTGTTGTTGTTGTTGTTGTTGTTGTCTGTGTTGTGTGTTGGATCAAGAGCATAAACACAACCTTGAGAAAATGTGTGTAATTGAAAGTAATGAATTCTGTAATTGATCCATGTTATTGATGCAGTGAACAGTGGACACTTTGCAGCCCCTGGGGACCAGCTCTGCGTCTGAGGCCAATGCCTTGATCAGGGAAACCCGATAAGCATCGACTCGGTGGTTAGCGTCTTAGAAGATGTGAAGATGTGGAAGTTAAAATGAGGCTAGATAAAACAATACAGGAACAAAGATATCAAAGTAATCTACTGCTTACAACTGTGGTTCAAAACATGCAAATGCAAAAACTATTCTACGTGACCTAAATGTCTATAATTCTACATGTGTGTTCAACTGTAATTCTCATCTCTGTAAAACACTTGAGCTGCTTTACATATGTTGTTTATAAATGTGCTCTATGAATAAATTGACGTGACTTAGATGCACTTGTTTTGCTGAGGGAGGATATTACATCAGCTGAGCAACACATGGAAACAGAAAAAATGCAGCAAACATGTTGACTTCAGTGCTGAGCCTCTGGAGATGCAGTGGCCTCGACATGACTTGTTCATCTATATGTCCAGGTCTGAATTTATTTATTTTTTCCTGTTTGCAGCCTCAGCTAATAAAACTAGACATTTATCGTCATTGGACAAACCCATTGAGATGTATCGTCTGGTTTTTAAGGGGGTCATTAATATGGAACACACAAGAAAGAAACAAAGACAACAAGAGAACAAAATAAGGACAGAATGAACAAAAGACAAAAGTTACAACCTCGACACAATCAAAAGAGAGAGAAGAAGAAATACATCATGGAACAGTGACATCATGACAGAAAACATAAGTATTTCATGATGAGAAAATGAATGGGCTGAATGGTGACAAAAACTGATATTTAAAGGTAACCAACTCCAATCTGAAGGCGGCTGAAAAAAATACTCTTATTTCCTACTTCTGTGGAATTAGATGTTATTACACCTAAACCCTGAAATATATCTTTCAAATTATACTTTTCAGTTCCTGGATGGCAATTGACCCTTCCCCAGTTCTAGTAAAATATTTAAGATGTTGTATTCACATAAGAAGATTTTTTTTTAAATAAACACCAGGATACTATGTGAAGTCTGGTTTTCACAGACAGATTAGAAAGTCTGGAAAGCATTTTATTAATGCTAAAGAGATAAGAACAGTTTAAAGCAAGTCCAGCAGCTCTTTTTGCATCTTTTCTGCATCCCTACTTTTTGGCTGCAGCTTAAAAAACTAAATAATATTCAATGTGGGTTACAACCAGTGATGATATAACTATGTTCATGATATCTGGAGGGATGTAGAGAGAGAGCACTTTCCTGCTGATGCTTCTGTGTCTCCCAGTTTTTATTTTATTATCAGAGTGCCTGGAGACCTGGAGAGACGCTGGTTAGAAGTGATACTCGACAACCTGGTGTCTTTAACTTTGCTCCGAGGAGGAAACCTTACAATCAGTTTCTCTTTGTAAATATCAAAATATCTTCTTCATATGGACATCTCTCTTTAGCGAGACAGAAACACATCATTACACCAAAACCTAATTCATCTGAAGGTTAAATGTCTGCAGGTTATAAACCAAAGTTCTCTATGGTCTAGTTGGAACCTAAATCTTATCTTTGTGCAATAAAAAAATCCAATATAATGTTTCAGGCTCTGACTTCACCCACCGAAGGGAGGCAGCTCGTACTCCACCTCCAGCACGACTCGCTCCCCGATGTTCTTCAGCAGGCTGATAATCTCATCATGGCGAAGCTTTGACAGGTTGATGCCGTTCACTGACTTGATGTAGTCTCCTACATTCAGCTGGTCGCTCCTGTGGAAAGGGACGGACACACTCACACATTCGCTCTCTTGGTTTCTATCCATGCGGGCTTGTTGGTGATGCTGCACAATACATCAAATACAACATGAAATATCAGCTCTTTCTGCATTAGTACCTGATATTATAGTCAGGTTTAACATTTTAAAACATCTGTAAACAGACAGATGTGGCTTGTAATGATGAAGATAATTATCAAGGACTTTTTGTTTTTGCATCAATGAATTGAACATTTATATCAAACAGTTGAACTTAGCAGAAACTTGCTCTGCTGTTTGAAAGGAATAAGAGCAGCGATTAAGATTCTACTGAGATTCAGGTAATCTGCTAATCTCCATACTAGTGAACACCTACATGAAGATGATGACGTTCAGTAGAGCACAAACCTCCACTAAGGCCCAACAGTCCCCTGGTGTTTAATCAAAATCAAGAATTATTCCATGAATCATTCAAAAGGAAATTGATGGAAAAAGTTTTTTTAAAATAGGCCTTCTTACAGCATTACTGAAAGTGAAAAACAAACTTCCTGGATCTGCCCCCTGGTCTGGATCTGAGTTCTTCCCTCACAAATACCACATCCTTCCACCAAGAGTCATGATCATCTGTCAAATGGCAAACATACCAACCAGCCCAGAAACAACCGGGCAGGGGTGAAGGCAACCTTGTGGACGGAGGTTGGGCTGGTGGGGGAAGATGGGGCAGAAAACTTTACTGACTCCAGTGTCACCATCTGAGTAACAGTCTCAGGTTGTGCAGTTGAATGATTTGGGAATGAACCAGTCGTGAAACATGTCGAGAACATCTAGTGCCAATCATTTTCTACAGGCTCGACTTCAGCATTCTTTCACCGCACTAACGTTAGCTTCATTTTCAGCTCATTCTTTTGGTCTTTTTTTAGCTAAACTCTTTATAAGCCACCTGTTTGTCACAGTCAGACCCAACTACAGCAGCTCAACAGCACATTTTGGCAACAAATGTCCTCTTTACTTGATCTAATCATGATGAGATGAGAGGCAGCCGTTAAATCTGATTACCGGCTGGTTTTATTGCACAATCTCACGGTGCAGGGGGAGAGGCAGAAATAAAAACTGATTCAGAAATAGCGATGCATTGAATATCAACAGAGGCAATCAAGATTTGTTGCATTAATCCGTTGTGGTTATGTAATTAGAAATCATTTTGTGGTATGTGGACTGACAGAGGCATCTGTGTAGAATGTGTGTGTGTGTGTGTGTGTGTGTGTGTGTGTGTGTGTGTGTGTGTGTGTGTGTGTGTGACAGCTGAAGCCTCTCGTCCTCAGAGATGAGTGTACATGGTGTCTCACTTGTGACATTCTGAGTCAACACACTGCTCATTGGAGAGCTAATTAATTAAATGGATGTTCTGCCTTGCTCGGCCCTCTCACCTTTGGGCTACTACTGCCAATCAGCGCTGACAACAGACAGACAGACGTCTCAACCAGCAGAGCCAAGCGGCCTGTCCTCTCGCTCCGGTCTCATCACACAACGTCCCTGCCCATCTCCCTCTCTCCTGTCCCTGCGCCCAGTAAATTAGCGAGCACTTCCACACAAGCAGGAAGTCAGCTGTGAGAAGACAAGCTGCTGGAAAGAATTAGCACAGTGTCTGTCTTTAAACCTCCGTGGTCTTGACAAGCGATGGCATATTTGGCCAGGAAATCTTCAGAGGGGCTGTGTCATTCTTACAAATGTGTGTGTGTCTGTGTGTTTTCAGTCACACGCTGCTTAATCATCTTAAAATGCGTCTTACGACATTGTGAAGCTTTGTGGGATCATGGGGGGGGCTTCACGACCATCATCAATGAAAATATACCTGATCCATTACGAGTGACCGATACAAACAGTGGGCGGGAAAAACTGTCTGACTGGCTAGCAGTGTGTTTTCCTTTACCATACGTCATTATATGATGCAATTAAAAGGCGACACAAATGAAACCTTGAAAGTTGTTACCTTGAATAAAATTGAGAATTTCTCTGGTTTGAACTTGTCGGAAACATTTTTGATACGTAAATACACGAGTCAAATATATCGGTTCTTTTTAGACATTTAACCGAAGAATTGTTAAGTATTATATTTTTGAGCAAAGCTACCAAAGAAAAATCAATGTTTCTTGGAGACTTTACTTTAAAGTAGGTTTTACTCTGCAGGTTGGAGTCACCGCCCACAGTTCTGCAGTTCGGGGGAACCGGTGTGACTTTGCAACTCGTGCATGTTGGTGACAGCAGAACGAAATGTCCGGACAGCTCGGTGTGGTTGCCAGGTTTTAATCGCATCACAGGGCAGAGATCTCACCTGGCAGCTAGCCCACCTGGCCGTAGGTTTGACACTCTGGGCTTGCCGTCCTTATCAGACCCTCCGGAGATGGTGAGGCCGAGGCTGCTGCCTTCCCTTTTCATCAGGTCCACCGTGGTCACTCCTCGGTACTCCTCTGCTGACAGACACAGGCACAGATCTACAGTCAGTATTAGCATCTGCTTGACAGAATCGCCCCATCTGAGAGGCAAGGAAAGACTCTTTATCATCTTTCCCTCCTGAATCTCTCACTGAAACACTCGCTGACACACAACCGCGTACTTTATTCTTTCACTCTGCTGTCTTTTGCTTGTCCCTTCAAATCTCTCAGTGTGAGTGATTCTGTGTGACGGCTTCAGCAGCAGCAGAAGGAGGGAGATGAGTCCTACTGTGGTGTTTCATTAAATACTGAAATCAGTGCTTGATTACAAACAGTACACTAGTTGAGGATTGCAGCAGAGTAATTTGGTCATAAATTGAAAGCCAGTTGTTTTCGTAAGTGAATAAAAATGACTCATGTTTTCATCATTTAACTCCGGTGGATGTGTGGTTATATGTCGTCATCAGAGGACTCATTCTGTCTTGTCGTCCACATTGTGCTGAGCTCTTAGATCACTCTTTGTGAAGTCTACCAAGTGTGGTTTAGTACCAATGACAGGTGTGCCACACCAGCGCTTTTTTCACCTTACGTAAGCATTCAAAACAACACAACATGAAACAAAATGCAGCGGACACACGACTCTGTGTGCACAAAGACAAAAGTCCCAGTCAGACTCTTTGTCTTTTTGAGGACACAGGTGAAGTAGGTGCAGCAGCATGAATCAGACAACAGACAGAAAACAACATGATGTGAAGTCAGGTTTGACTGGATCGTACCTGAAAGGCTGCGCCTCCTGGACAAATGTGATTGGTCAGGTCCCCCGGACTCCTTGCTACCCTTTGAATATGGTCCTTCATCTGAGGAGACAGCAGTGAGGTATGGAGGTGCTGTTGGGAAACTGTATTTACACTGTATGGAGAAACTCTGCAGCAGAATGAACACGACCGTGCATTGCACATCGTGACAAGTTAATGCCTTGAACTGCACCCTGGGTAACGTGGGGGCTCTGGGAGCGAAACATCCCTAAGCCAGCAACCACATTCATCCGTCAGGCAGATGAAACTATATCAGCCTGAACTCAGGAACCTGCAGCTCCACTTTGTTTCCACCACAATCCTCCTATAAAAGGGTTTAAAATAGCTCCTCTACATCTGCAGCAAAGTACCTTGAAAACCATTAATTTAACACAAGAATATAATTTCAGGGAGCTTCATGTATGCAGCTACTAAAGCATGGAAATCCTCCTGGAGTAACAGCATGCGGCTAATGGACTGTTAGTGCACAGAGAGAAAATTATCATTTTCATGTCATTTACAGCAGCTGCTACAGAAAGCTGGGAATGTTCAATCTGCTCTTCGGGGGGAAACGTGTGTGTGTGTTTTTTTTTTCATTTCTGACGCAGCACTGGGCTGGACACAGATTAACGGAGCTGCTGCACGGCCATCTGAACCTGAATGCTGCCACAGAGGCATGTCAGCAGCCACAGTGATGAGGAAACTGACTTGGCACTTCTCTAATCCTGTCCACTGTGGATTACCTTTTCAGCTATCCACTACCGACTGAACGGTTTATTGCAAATTTAAGGAAGAACTGTGCAAGTCCTCGGAGAGCGGAGGTCGCATGTTAGTGCTGAACACTTCAGGCTTCAAGCATCACTAACTCTGCCAAGGAGGTTATGCTATCATCTGCGTTTGTTTGTTTGATAGTTAACATGACCCAACATGCAATTTGGTGCAGATCCAAATAAAAATGTGGATCTTGTGAATTGAAATGTTGTTTTGTAAGACGACTGTTGGACGCTGGCGGAGGTATAAGACAAGAGTTCCACTCTGTCGTGTTTACCAAGCCGTGTATTTGTTTGTTAGCAGGATTACTTAAAGACTGCTACACGGATGTCCATGAAATTTTGTGAAGAGGTGGGATATGACCCAAGGAAGAACCTATTTAAGTTATATGGATAAACTGGCAATTTGTTTTTTCACTTTCTCAACATGGTGAGATAAGACGTTAGCCATAATGGAGGTATGCGTTCTCTGAGTTCCCTTCTTCCTTTTGGTGTCCAATTACTGTGTCAATAGTGCAGACACTAAATTCTTAGTTTCCTGAAGCCTCTTTCAGAAACAGTGTAACCTATGAACCAGAGGTATTCAAACTATGAGACAGGCCTTCATGAGATACTTCAAAAACCCATAGAGCCCAAATATTTCAGTTTGTGTCAAATAATTGTATTCCTTCTAATAACTCAATAAGAACTCAAATCTGACCACTCAGACATGCTATATATATTTTAGATTGAGTGTAAGTTACTCCATCCAAAGATCTCATGAACTCTGATGTTCATCAGAATAAACTTCTGATCAGGAATTACTGAATAAGATGCACCAGACATAGAGATGAGAGATAGATTTGATTGAGTCGTCAGTTTCCTTATAGTAAAATAATCCAATCTGTACATTCATGGGTTAAGTGCAAACAGGAAGTACTAGTAGCAAATTCTTTAAACTTGAACGGCTAATTTGCTGAGATGAGTATGACTATCAACAAATCATATTAATATCTGTTAATATCATCTTTACTCAGGGTCTACTAAGGCCTATACAATAGATTAAATGGTTGATTGGAGTCTGTCATGGTTTTCAAGATAACGCTTCAGAAGGTTTTTCCATTGACATGAAAAACCACATTCAGTGACTCTAACATGTCTCTCTCTTTGATCTGAGCTGATTTGTAAAGACAGGACTGGGGGAGGACATTCAACCCTCTGTCTCCTCTCTGTCCACATCAACTCTCCACATGTGTCTAGCTGAAGAGGAAGAAGCCTTCCGACAGCTCAGAGGCTGATCTATCGCCAAACCCTCCCTGACCTGAAACCTTTGGGCAAAGCCTGGATATGAGGCGTAATGAAGAAAATCCAGCCTTCTTGAGCATGCGGCTGCATGAGTCAGACCTTCGCTGCAGAAATATCTTCACTGGACTTGCATATTTTAGTGATACATACAGTACATATGCGTAATATGGTATTTCACACTAATTTACGCACACATCCTTGCACAAATATCCCTGTCCAGTAGCTGTGAGGCACAAACACACACACACAAAGCGAGTGACACATCACAAACACGTTGGGCACAAGCCTCGTACCCACGCGGGCTCCTGAGGGCCCTGACAGTCCAGCAGCTGTCATTGCAGTCAAAAGGCAACGTTAGCTCTGGGTTACACAGAGCCTGACGCAGTGCACGTGACTGAACACTACTGTACCATCAGGCCATCCCCCAGCCATCTTCCTCCAGCTTACAACAGCCAATTCACCCTGCTGACCTGGGTGGTGATCAGGATGGAGCTGATTAATAAACAGCCCAAAAATGAATCCAGTAACTGAAATGAAAAAAAAACACTATTGTCTTTGCAGAGAAAGTTAGTTTTTGGCTTGAGGACGTGATTAACCAGAGAAGCTCAAATAAAGGACAAAAATAAAATTCTAAACTCTTGCATGAATATGTGGTGAGTTAATTAACTCCTGGTTTAATTCAGGGCAGTGTACACCATCCCTGTCATGTCCAATCAGAATGTAGGTTAAATATGGGGGGCAGCACTGACAATGACATTGAAATCATAATTCTATTTTCGGAAAGTAAAACTTTATTTATAAACCGGGGCCTGCCAGACCTAGTTTGTGTTGCTATATTTGCCCCGAATACACATGACAGAGCATGGTGGCTGAGGTCAGTGACATTTAAATCTCTTGTAATCTACCACTGCCATAATGCATACATTGAAATAACTCAACAGTTTAATAGATTACCAACATAAACAAATCCCTCAAATCTTGTTAATAACATTGGTTTAACATTTTGGCATTTCATTGTTTCGACTTGTTTTGAGGAAATCATTTCAGACACAATCAGCTGTTTACAGGTGAGGAGATGATCCAGGTGATCACTCGCCCCCTCCAGCGCTAAAATCCTCCACTACAACACACCAGCTGACACCTCACCCACTCTGCACTGCGAGGACCAACGTGTGCTGCTCTTACCAGTGCTGTTCTTGGTGTCCCTCCTCAGACCACACAGCATGGCTGCAGTTCAGTCAGCACAGCCCCCCTCAGGAAGTAACCCTGCCGGTCTTCAGTGGTGGACAGAGGACCCAGGGTCCACTGGAGGAATAAGTAGGCGACCTGAGACACCCACGAGTCTCAGCCTCTCAGATAAAACAGAGAAACCGTCTTCATTCTCGTCATTCCTTCTCTCTCCGGTCCAACATTTGTCTAACCCTTGTCCCTGTGTAACAGCCCAGTGACGTCTGGGGCTCCAGAGGGTAAATTGTGATCCTCAGTTGATCTCTAGTTTTCCTTCCCTCTTTAAAGTTGCTGACAAAAAGATTGGATAATTCCTCTCAGTGCTCAAAAATATGCATCTACTGAACTCTGGCTACGAAATCCAAAGCAGGGTGAGAAATGGTCTTGCCATCTTGCTGTGGTTCTGCTTTTGAGCTATTCATACTAATCACTCGTCCTTTTTCCAGAGCATTTATCATCCCTCGCTCATACACACGAGCTCACACATAACCCTGCTCTCTCATACAGAGCAGAGGGAGTGTGTTTGCTCGTTCCCTCTCTCTCTCTCCCTCACTCTGCCAGAGGGGTTCAGTGAGGCAGGCACACAAAATAGTCATTCCCTCCCCCAGCGTGCGTGCGTGCACGCACACACACACACACACACACACACACACACACACACGCACACACAATCCATTCCCACCCAGTCAGACACATCCTCAAACTCACCCACCGACCCACACACTTATCTCTCTATAGCTGTGAGGACATTCATTAGTATGATACATTTCCTAGCCCCTAACCTAAGCCTAATTCTGACTATAACCCTAAAACCAAGTCTTGACCCTCAAACAACCCTTTTGATTTGTGAGGACCAGGCAAAATGTCCACACAATGATGGTATTTAACCATAATTGGCCCTCATAACTATAGATACACACACACACACACACACACACACACTCACACTCACACACTGAGATTAAACATGACAAAACTGCACACACTCAACTCTCTGCACAATTAACACCACATGCATTGTCAGACTGAGCCTTTCACACAGTCACGTTTTCTCACACACAGACTGCACCCGTGTTACAGAGTTTGAATCCATACAAAGCTAGTATCACTCTCTCACTCTCTCTTCTTTCTCACACCCCCCTTCACACACACACACATATAGTAGACAGCAAATGAAAATTCCTGTGCAGCTGTTTGAGAACATGCCTAACAGCTGAAATTCATTCAAAATGCTGTGCAGTTGTCGAGGGCTGTGGGCTCAGATTGTCCTTATGTGAAAACATTAAATTATGAATGATGTGCATGATTAGGAACATATAAAAAGCAATGAGTACAATTGTGGCAACTGTGTGAAAATTAAATGTATGTCAGCCAAGGCTCGACCTCTCTTGTTTCCCCCTCAGGGGGCCGAAATGATCCACTGCTAATCCGGGGGCCCTCTGAGACACCTCCACCCAAACACAGATGGACTAATGGCTGTGCTGACTGACCCATGGCCACACCTGTCTGAACATGTGTCATGCACAAACGCCTCGACGCCTGCCACTTCCTGACCTCCCACTGCCACCAACAACCCCAACAACAAATGCCCTTCTCCAGCCTCACCGATCCTTCATCTGCATCGTTTGTGAAGAAAATGCAAGGACAGAATGTGATTGTCAGAACTTAGGAAGCAGGGAAATGAACACCAGCAAAACCAAACAGCACTAGAAGTAAATTAGACTCTGTATTCTACAACTGCCAATATTACAGATGTGTTAAGTGATTTCAAAACAAGCATTCCCATGTTTCTACCTGCTGTTGCATGAAGCCTAATTAGTCAGTGGACACAATGCACCTCAGTGTGGATAATTTCCTCAGAGACATTTGTCCTTAATACCCCATTTACAATGGAGTGAGTGTAGTCTTTCAGAGCGAAACTAATTAATTTCCAACAGAATAAAGAGCACCAGGAGACGGAGCAGTGTGCTGGACTGATAAAAACCTCAGGGAACAGGGTGGCAAGTGTTGGGCTCTAATAAAAATTGACTCTGCTGCGCTTCCTCTAGACTAGAAATCCACATTATTGATGCAGACGGAGGGATAATGAAATAATTACATCAGGAAAGTAGAATTTGAGAAAGAGATTCAGCCCCAAGAAAGAAGAGAATAATTTGCTGTATTTGATTGTAAGTGTTTCTGGATTTTTCATCTAGATTATTTAATAAATCACTGTGTTTTAAATGTTATTATACATGGCAGGTATTCTATAGAGAGGGAGGCATGAAACTACATCATCGACTAAACTGACCACACTGCCACCTAGAGGTGATCAGCACCAATTGCAAGTGAAAAATCTGAAAAAGCAGAATGACTAATTCATTCGTCAGCCAGCACAGATCAGTGTGTGTCCAAAAAACAAACAGCCCGAGGACACGGATGTGTGACACATACTCGCACTTTAGTTTTCACCTTGAAGGTCAGGTTTTAGTCAAAGTAGGTCTGCTGCAAACAAACACACACTTTTACTCTTTTTAAAATGACTTCAGATCATGCCTGTCATCAAATGACTCTTCTGGGATTCATTAACAGATACAATTGTTATAGTCAGTCATTTTGTTTTGACAAAATCTTCTCGGTAAAAATGTTATGTTCCACCTATTTAGCATTTACAAGCAACATAAAAGCATAAATTACTTATTAAACAGTGTAATGTAGTTGTACTGATATATTTGAAGTGTTTGATATACAGAACTTTCAAATGTCTTATCATTACAATGACAACAATTATTACAATTGTGTTTTACTATACTGCCATTCGTGAGCTGGAGTTATAAGACCAATGCATTACCAAACACGTATAATGCTTTTATCTAGATCTATAGCTTTATAAATACTTTTTAAATGTTTATATTAAAAAACCTGTATATACTTGTATATTTCTTTTAAAATTTGCTTATGTTTATATTGCTCTTATTTTATAGATTCTCCTTGTATCCATATTGCATCCTTCATTTTGGAATCCCCTTTGCTGCTGTAACACAACAAATTTCCCCATGAAATGAATATAAAGGTATGTTATCTTCAAGTTTTACACGTTTCTTCACAATATTTAAGACATTACCATTTCTGAAATCCCAAAGGTTAACGTACCTCTCCCTCTGATGATGCCCAGGCGACATCTGAGAGAAAAGGAGAACATCCTTTTCTTTCCTCCAGAGGACCGGCTGCCTTTCCTCAGGGAATCAGTCTGAGGGAAGGCAAAGGAGATCTGCTTGGGAGAGAGATGTCCCTTTCCAAACACTAGCCGTGCTGACATGTTCATTTTATGACCAGTGACAAGGAAATAAATGGATTCTGTCCTCTCACCATGTCTCAGACACTGCAGCCTCTGCCTGTCCTGCTGTTCCCATGTTCTCCTCCCTCTCTGGAGAATTTCCAGTCCTCTCAGGTGAGCCCTCCAAGCCCACTGCACAAACTCCAATCCAACAATGCCTTTTTTTCCCCCAACCACTATTGGTAACACTCTTCCACATCCAAACAGCCACAAGCTGACTGGCATATATAAATGTTAATATATATTTCTGCATCTCTGGCAATGTCAGGTTTTTGCATGAACAGATGGCAGAGGGCTCAGGGCTGTGGGGCACAGCTTGTCTGCCAGAATGCAATGGAAACTTTCTCTGCAGGGAGTCGGCTCTGAACATCACACAACAACGTATATTCTGAGCTAGCCATTTCGACGCAATGGCTTGAGATGATCTTCCATTTAAATTATTGATAAAAGAACTTAAGCAATTAGAAAAGCATTTCAGCCGAGGGTTTGTCTGAGCACGCAGACACATGATGCCAGACTGACTTGTTGAATTAGTCCAAAACCTGTGAGGCGACTATGAGCTGGCATCTTTTCTGTTTGAGGGTGGGAATAATATCCAGTGGGTTAGAAGAGAAAACTAGGTGACAAAGTAGAAATGGGAGTTGCTTCAGTAATTAAACACAAAGTATGGGTTTAAGTAGACCTGTATCATGCTCATTCATGTAAGACTTAACTGACACTGAAGAAAAGCTCATTAGAAATAATAGTTTTGAGCTGTTATTTTGCTTGAATGTAATTCAGCACATTTTGTAATGTAACTACAGGTATAATTACAGGGAGGTCAAATGATTATCCCTGAAATAAATGAGATCGACATGTTGGGAAATATTGGTTAAATAAACATGAAATAGTGGTTGGATGTGTATTTAATGAAATGTTACACTGAAGGACAAAGAGCTTCTAGCTTAACCTTCAATTAAATGATACAATCAGTTCTTAACTTGAGCAAGAACTTGACCAAGTTTGTTAAATTTTAAAGAAACTTCAGTCAAGAAAGTTCTATGACAGCAAAAAGCCCTGAAAATTGTACAAGCATGCACCATTTCAAAAGCGACCCAAGTTCAAATCTTGGAGGCAGAACAGAATTTCTACAAAAGTTTTAAAGGCTCTTCTATTTATAATATGGGTCAAATCTCTTCTTCAGGCATCTTGCCCCTTTTGTTCTGCTCCAGCATCCAATCATCTGGAATGAGATGAGGAATAACCCGTTTACCCCAGAGAGACTAGTACCAGCTGTGGCCTTCACCAGCATTTCTTTACCATTTTGACACGTGCGCAACAAACAAAAAGTATCTCATCAGTGAAATATCACAGCCCATAAAAACTATTTTTTACTCCCTGTCGACTTCAATGGATGTTAATATTCCTTTGTGAAATTAGATTTATTTCAACCAGTGAGAAGTTTAAAAAACAGAATGAAACATGTCTTCAACATTAACTGTAGAAGACGTGTTTCAACATTAACTGTAGACGTACAATCTAAAATGACCCAAATCATTACACCAATATGTGCCCACATTGACTTACTTTCACCCTGTAGACCCACTACATTTTTAAGATGTGGAGATGCTCATTCGTATCGTCACTAAATCAAGTTACCAAAAGGAAAATAAGTTCCATTAGCCAACTTCCATTTTTACACATTTATTGTTAATAACCAGTTTATTCGTTCTCCTCGCTCCTGAGCCTGGCGTTGGGGTTGGTGATCTTGATGGCCAGCTGAGCTGCCCTCTCCACAATCACCTTCCTGTTCTTGGAGGAGACGTTGTGGGCGATCTCAGCACAGTGAGTCCTACAAAGGTTAAGAAAAAGAGTTTTAGTTATCGACCAATGTTACTAAATGTGATGAGGTAAGGGCGGCAGTTGTGCTGAGGGTTCCTGTCCATATTCTAAGAACCACCCAATGTTAATTAAAACATCCAGGAAAAAGCAGAACCAACTGTAAATCTTGACTTCTAATCTAATTTTATATAAAAATCATCCTGTAGTAGAAGCTCAAGTGTTGAGGCAGCTTCGGTCTGTGGGTCAATCTGTGCTCCTCCTATTTTTTTTGCTTAAAAGACATATCACCCCTGTGTTGTGTAAAGAATGCTCTACATTTGTATATTTAGTAAGTGAAACATTGTTCTAAAACTGCAGGTTTTCCAGGATGAACACAGCCAACTAAACTGTGCCAGTCTTAAAAAAGGAATGGTAAATACTGAGAATGATGAATTACTGTTTGACCTCCAAGTGCAACTGACCACAGAAAGATAGAGAATCGTCCTCAGCACATCCTTAGCTTTTTATCCTATAAACAGGATGCCACATTTAAAAGGAGGGCTCTACCATTAACAGCCTGTTGAACTTTACCACTTGTCCACAGGATCATTTTAAAGTGGGGAAAGCAGTCAACAAGTAACATGTTTGAAATAGCGATCCAACAGTTGATCAGTTTGAAAGTTCAACTTGTCTCACATAATCACAGGCACTAAATCCTTGACAGACTGATTCATAGATCACGTGTTCGTAAAACAGCTTTATTGAGCCGAATTTGACTGTTGCTCTGTAAATTAAAGATTAGACCTTACACAGACCAAAATGTCATTTTCATGGATTTATGTAGTCACCAACTCCTCAAATGGGAAAACTTCTGCCTTGACACAGTCATTCTAAGACTTAAGTGTTACAAACTTCACTAAACCTTGGGCTAGGCTTGGGAACACTGCTCTACAAGCAGCAGCATGCAGCACTGTATCAATTACTCTTCAATCAAATCAAACGTTGAATTGCGGCACAGTTACATGAAAGAAAATCCCAGTTCAAATCTTGCCGTCATTCAGGAATGAGTTCACTCAATTGGCCCATAGGGTTTCTAAACACGTCTTTTTGAGATCGTGACTTCTTTTAAGTTGCTCATGACGGTGAAGAAGTATTTTTGGAAAACTTAGCAGCAACATCCCTTACAAAAAACAGTACTCTAAACAAGATAAGAAATTAAAATGTTAAACAATTTCCTAGACCAAATTAATGGTCAACAAATCTGTTCAAACGTGAAATTAATAATGTTAACTGCATGTTTTCTATAAAAACTAGTCATCTTGAAATTTTTGCCAATTCCCAGGTTTTTCTTTGAAGCACAAGTAACACACAGAGAGCTGATCGTTGTACAATCAGACTACTTTTTAAGAAATAGTTGCTTCATTCAATTCAAGCTCACTGTGTTTTTCTACGTTACCTCACAACATTCAAATCATTAAACAAAACTCTTCAACTCTGTTAAACTGATGTGACAGCAAAAGTACTTCTCTCCAGACAAAACATGCCACGTAATCCACATGATGTTAAAATGTGTGCACCCATGACTCACTTGTTGCTCATCATCAGGACCTCGAGTTCCTTGATGTTGTGAACCAGGAACTTCTTGAAGCCAGTTGGCAGCATGTACTTGGTCTTCTTGTTGCTACCATAACCGATGTTGGGCATCAACATCTGACCCTTGAACCGCCTGCGGACCCTGTTGTCAATACCTCTAGGCTTACGCCAGTTTTTCTGTTGAAGATATGTTGAAAGGCAAAGATGAATTCCTCGTGTATCAATGCTTGGAAGTAAACACAACGCTCCAGATCTGCTCAGCATCTTGTGTGTGATTTAAAAGAAGAAAAACTTACCGCAATCTTGACATATCTATCAGATTGATGGCGAATGAACTTCTTGGTTCGCTTTTTGACAATCTTGGGCTTTGTGAGGGGTCTGAGGGCTACCATGGTGACTGAAGAGAGGAAAACAAATTAATCAAGTTAAGATCTAGCACAAAATATTATATCAACTTTAGAGTCGCAACTAACACAACGTGCTGTGCTGCGAGGAAAGGATTAGCTGTTTACAGGCTAACTAATAACTAGTAGCGACATGTAGATGAGCAATGGCGACTACTGCAGTTTATTAATTGTCATGTTTCAGAACTTGAACTCTCACTGAGCTTGGGACCATAAGCAACAAACCCAAGTGTCCCTCCACTGTGCTGTGGAATGAGCCTGGAGGTAAACGTGATTACCAGTGTTAGCTAGCTATCGGCTAGCTAACTGCGTACAACTAGCAAGTTGGCCATGCTACTTCTCAGCAACAGCTTCAGCACTTTAGCCTGAGTGCTTCATTTGAAATAACTCACATAAATGTAATGTTTGAAACCGGTAGTTATTATTTCTCAAGGCTCACGTGTCGGCGTTCAGAGTACGACAGCACCATTTCACGGTGAGAGCGTTAGCAGCCGCTTTAGCAGCAGCGGCGCCTCACACGTTAAAATCATGGAAATAATCTAATAAAACGGTCAATATTATCCGACATGAGTGTGAATGGCGTGTATGATGTATGACCCACATCAGGATGATCAACTAAAACCTTAAATCGCTCGGATTATCACAGATTGCGTGAACTCACCCGCCGATATGAATCCGAAAAGGACCTCAACGACGGCGGAAGGAAAGAAAAAGGACTTCCGCGAATGCTGCAAAGCCTTCTGGGTAGTGTAGTTGTTCTTCCTTTTCTAGCTAATAGGAACCTTTTTTGGTTTTTAAAGCGTCTGCGCTCTAATGGAATTTATTTATTTTGCTTTAAAAGTGTGTGAAGTGAAACAACACGAAACATTTAATGTGTATTGTTAATTATCAAATGTTACGTCATATAAAAAAACTGCCCACCTCTCATATTTGTTGACAGGGGTTGGTTCACACTTCCTGGACAGAGGACGGGGTTGCGGGGGGAGTAGAGGGTGTTTCTGTCGGAGTGACTGGATTAAGATCGAATTAAATCTAACAGAGGTAAAGTTTAATTCACTTTTCTAGCTGCTGGAGGAAAGAAGAGGAGTCAGCTGACTTGGAGCAGCAGGAGGACAGGGTGAGTTCTGATCCCAAACTGTACATAAAGAAGGTGCGTGGTTTATTGTGTGTCACATGACAGTCGCTCCATACACTGATGTGCACGTATGAAGAGTTTATCTGTCTCTCTCACTTGTCGTGTTGCTGCGCTTACAGATGGAGTATCAGCACATTGCGACGTGAGTGTCTTCTGTTTTTTTTGTGGGTTTTTTTTTACACCACACCTTTTCACGCAGTTCTCTGTGAGTCCCACCACATCGCTGCTCACTTTCGTTTCCCGTTACTTTCCAGCCAGCAGCCCAGAAACTACGGCATAGCCAACCCCGGTTATGCCCCGGCAGCAGCGGCAGCAGCACCCGGTAAGACATAGGAGCTTCATGTGTAGTGTGACACTGATTGTAAAACAGCTGACTGATAATGATCTGAGTGTAAAAAAACAAAACACCTATTGCTGTTATAAGTATACACGTCCGCACGGTGCACGCCTTCGACTGACGTCACTGTGGATCCACAGGTTATTTGAGGTTTGAAGCCGCGCGAGCTCCGCGAGCTGCGACTTTTCTGATTTTTACCGAGATCTAAGTTGAGATATCAAAAGTTTTACCGTGACGCTGTTACTGGAGAACTTGTGAGAATGTATGTGAACCATGATGTGAACACAGAGGGGCAGGGTAAGTGTCTCTCTCTACTACTGTGTGTTATTATCATATGTCTCTGCCGCCTCCGATTCCAGCTGGATCCCCTGAGAAGAGCTGAGTGGAGTCACATCCGTGTTTGGTTTTTGTGGCTGATCGTCTGTGTTTTAAAGCAAGAAAGCTTTTCTGGAATCAAACCTTTTTCAAAAGTCTACGTTTGTGGACACGACTGAACCTGTTCTTCTGGTTTGTTGCAGCAATGTTCGCCCCACCCGGAGCAGCCGCAGCCGCGGAGGGCCCCAGCGCTCCTCCGGCCAGCATGTTCGACAGCATGCCTGGCTATGAGGGAACAGTGGCGGGAGGAGGTACAGTGAGCTGCACCACTAACATCCACTGTGACACAACACCGCAGACATGCGCAGCCCCTTGCCCCAACGACATGTGTCGAGATTAATAATAATCTCACTCTCCATGTGTTGAACTAAGAAACAGTGTGCCAAAATACAAGTAGTGAATCCAAATCGACTTCACTCACATTATTAGATATTATAAATTAACTTTTTTGCATATAATGAGGACATTTAAATCACTTTCACCCTGACATTTATTAAATCTAAATTAATTTAACTCAGATAAATATTACATTTAAACAACTATTGCTCAGATAATTTGTAAATATAAGTATGCTATCCTTGTGAAACTGATTCCCAATCCTTGGCTTGCCTAACAGATTAATAATAATATCATTCTTAATGTGTTGAACTAAGCAACAATGTGCTAAAATACAAGTTAGAATAAGGACTGTTATTCAATTAATCCAAATCAATTTCACTGAGATTATAAGGAAATCTAAATTAACTTTTTTTGCAGATGATTTGTTAAGTTAAATCAGATTCAGCCATAAAGTTAGTAGATATATAGATATGCTCAGATAATAAGTAAATATAAGTGTGTGCTTGCTGATTGACTGGCCACTTTATTATTATTACACATTTTTATTGTGTAATTAAGTTTTACAAGCTCTAAAAGCAAAGTAATGAAGCTTTTATCAGTTAACATCATACAAAAGTGCAGCAAGCAATAAAATCCATATGAAATGTGATACTCTTTGACTTTAAAACACATGTTCTCCTGATGTTGCATAGTTTTACTTGTCACACAGGTTTTCCCAAACATCTTGGTGAACTTTGCCACAGTTGTGTTGATTTAGTTTGTCTCATTGTCTTCTGTCCCTTCATGTGATCCCAGACTAATACTATGATGTTTGGATCAGGCCTCTAAATCTACTGCAGGACTCCTTGTTTGTCTCGTCCCTGGGGATAGTTCTTTATGACTCTGGCTGCATATAAATTTTGGCCAATCTCAACTTTGTGTCTCCATTCAATCCAAATCATTCCAGATACAGCAGCTCTGTCACATGTTTTACCTTTACAAAGTGTATAATGACTTTGTTTTTTATTTCAACTTTCTAAGAGGTGTTGATTCATTAGTGTGTTTGTTGCTGAAGTCGTAGTCAGTGGTGGAGTTGTACTGGATCACAGTGATGTGTTTGTAATATAGGGTTCCCTGTGTATTTGTTCATAGGGTTGTTACATACATGACATTAGAAACACCTCTAAAACCATACAGTTCAACAACCCTGCCAACTTCAATAATAATCATTAAGTTAAATGAACAGTTTATTGTATTGTATTGTATGAGTGAAGTTAGAATTTAAGGCCAAACAGCTGTATTAGATTTAAATGTGTCCCAAGTACAGATTTCACTGAGTGATTGCTCTGATAAATGATAAATAAAATAGAACTAAAACTTTCAATATTTGCTGTAGGTGGATTTCTGCCCCCTCCCATGCCTGCTTGCCCAGTTCCTATACCTGAGCCTGGACCTGAACAACCACACTGGAAGTAAGTCTCAAACTATTTCCTCTCTTTCAACATGACCAGTGAAAATATTTCCCCTGATAATGAAATTCAAGACTTAATGCAAGCTCAGTGCTCTGGGTTGTATCACTTCTGCTTACAAAATTAGATTCGATGACTTCCAGTATGTCTTTCACTTTTTTCCGCAGTATCCCGTCTATAACTGAGGACACAGCTCGTGAGGCGTTAGTCCTGTTTGCCTCCAGCAAGTGCTGCTACAGTGCAGCACCAGCAAAGGATGGTGTGATCACCAACATGGAGGCATTCAATACATACAGGGTGGGACAATATCTGTTCATGTGTGTGTGTCTGGGAATTAGAATTTGAACTATTGAATTGTATGATAGTTTTGGATAATAAGCAAAGAAGCGATTGCAGATTGTTTAATCGTGTTTGTTTTCTACACTCCGGCTTTGTTATAGTATCGTCTGGAAACCTTTACTGAAACAAGGTCTACAGACTGGAGTCATGAGCCATATAAAGGTACTGTCATTTTGAGCATCTTCTGCTCTGGATCTGTAACTAACCATAATTTTTATTTTACAGTATGATGAAAAAACATTAGAAACAATGAAAAATGCACAAAGATTTGGACAAATAGAAGTATCCAAATCCTGAAATTAGAGATGCTGGAACCAGCAAATTGTTGTAATTTAAACAACTGATAACCAATCAAGTACTTATTGATTCTGTTGATGAGGTTATCAATACATTGTTTCAGTGCTCTTTCTGATGTCAGACAGCCATTTAGTTTGACTCTTCTCATTTATTTGGATCAGGGCAGCCAGTGGATGCCTACGCCCAACCACCTCCAGGGCCTTGGGAAATTCCGACTAAAACTCCCAGTTTTTTTCTGGATGACAAACAGATTATCAAGGTTCCCTACACTTCATCTATGAAGGTAAACAATAACAATACTGCACCATACACAATGTGTCTGGAGAAGAAAAACATCATGTCTTTGTGTTTAGAGACTTATTTTTCCTGATGAGAAACATTTCATGTACAGAGCTGCCACGCATGTATGGGAATGGGGCGAAAACCTTGCAAAGACTGTGCCGGTGCTGGTAATGTAAGTTATTCCACCAACCAACCATCACAAGGGTTACTACAAGACCTGTAGTTGGATAATCACATGATCATGTGATTTATTTCCTTGCTCCTGTCAGAAAGTTTGTTGGGTGTGCAATGGGTCTGGTTTCCGCCACGGAGACGAGCGATGTCACCACTGCAATGGAAGAGGAAGGGACAAGTAAGAATCACCCACAGATTTCTGAACATGATATTGTGCTTCCTCTACCACATACAGGCCATTAAAAATAATTGTTCTGTTCCAGCTGCAGCCACTGTCAGGGGCAAGGAGCAAAGCAATGTGACGTATGTCAAGGAAAACAACAGCTTCTGGTCTACATCAGACTCACTGTGAAATGGTGCTGTTTCCTTCTTATGATTTATTTGCGAAGAATATGACATTACTAAAGCGACAATAGATTTTCCTAATGATCCTGAGGTCATCGACATTTATCATTAATTTATACAGTTTAATAGTTCTAAAATTCAACTGGATATCTTCTTCTTTTCTATGTATATGCATTCAGGACCAACAACTGTGACAACTATGTTGTTGAACAGTTGAGTGGACTGCAGGTGAACAACCTCAGCACAGTGTCTGGGAAGGAGCTGTTCAGAGACTCTCAGTATATGGTAAAATATTGCTTCTTCCTTCTTCCTTTCACAGGAGGAAAAAGATATAAGGTGGGGGAGTGTAAAAGCACAAACAACAAACTACATTGCTGAGGAATTTGTTCCCTCATTAGTTGAACTGGTGTCCTCAGTTCACCATATCTACAGTATACATCTAAGCAGGCTCACATGATTTCCACACAGAATGTGTTTAAGTAATTTTTTAATCAATAAAGCAATTTTCACAGTTCACATAACTTGTTACACTTGGTAAACAGGAAACATAACAGACAACTGTTACTGAATAACAACATGAACACTGAAGCCCCCGGAAGCCTGGTTGACACAGAAAAAAAAAGTTATCTGTCTTGTTTTGAATCTTCTGTCTGCATGTACGCCAGACAGTTCTTCTGATGTGAGCACAACTCTATTTCTATATGAGGAGGAGTTATTGTCGAACACAGCACATGAGCATTGATCAGACAGGAAAGAGTTCAGGCAAAGTTCATCTGTGAATTTTCCATTACAATGCTTCAATTCTATTTCCTTCCGTTTGATTGTGTGTTGGGCTTTCTACAGTGAAGCAATAGGTGCACCACAAAAAAGCACTGTTACTGAACACATCCTGTGTGACACTGATGGAGGACAAAAGTTCTTGCTGCTTATCTGCTGCTTTTCCTCTGCAGCCTGTGTGCTGTTGCTGGTGTTGGGTCTAATACTGACCCTGTGAATTTTTGCATCCCTCACAATAAATGGACAGCTTAAATGATTGTCATCCGGTATGATCTGTCAACTAGAATCAATGTGATTTAAACAGGAATAATGAGTCAGCACTTTATATTTTAGTTTATATTTTTCTAATCCCGCTGTGCAGGTATACCCAGTGATGGGCTTCCCAGACCCTGCAGTGGTGAATGCTGCGCAGCGCCTTGTCAGTGAACACCAGGGCAAGTTCTCCCAGACATCACGTATTCTACAACAGGTATTTACAACACTTTCAAATAATGTCAAACATGTTGTGTGGATTGGACAATACTTCTGATCAATTCACTTCATGCTCAAATCTGCTTTTCTCGTCCGCAGCGCCAAACCATCGAGCTGATCCCTGTCACCAAAGTGACCTACTTGTGGAAAGGGAACTCAAACATTTACTTTGTTTATGGGAATGAGTTCAAAGTTAATGCAGACAACTATCCTGCCACTTGTTGCTGTACTGTAATGTGATGTGACTGCAGTGGCTGTGTATTGGAGGTGCTCACTTTCCAAGCCAACAGATTTCCAAATATTAGTTACCATGTTACTCACAGGTCATTTCTATGGATTATTAGAGCATTCTCTGATGTGTGGGCAGTCAAGACCTTGTTTAATCCTTTGACACAGGCATTTTATCGATGAGCTAATATGAGGCTGTACAACTCATGTAGCTTTATGAGCAAGCAATCTTCACTGAAAATCAATTTGCCTTTGACAAACTTACCACAACATCTAATGTCAAGAATTCATGTGGTTATGTCCCATTTGTATGTGCATCACAGAGAAATGTTTACTAATATAATCTAAACCGAATCCCTTGATACTTGACAGTTATTACTTTTGCATGATATCAGTGATTTTTTTAATAATCAGAAGATATTTCATACAGAATATTAGTAGTGTGCTATTTTAATGTCACAACATTTGTATTTTTACCTAATACGTTTGCTGCCACTGAAATATGAATTATTGATATATTAATTACATTTGTATGATCTCATAATACAATTTAAAAAACCATGTAACTTCTATGCAACGATTCATCCATTTGAATAAACGGCTTTCACAATTGTTTTGCTCCTGAGTCATTGCGTCATAAAACGTCGACCGTCGCTCGCTAAATGACGTGGGGAACGTGTTCGCCATAATGATAATAAAGCGTGAACACGAAGCTGTAATAAAGCAAATGAAGCTGCGGCTGTGACACGCGGATCCACACGGAGACACCGAGGAGCTACGGAGGTCAGACCGGCACCGGTGGACGCGAGTCTCGGGTCCATTTTGGGGGAAAGCGAGGAAGAGCTGAGCGGAGCAACGAGGTTAGCATGCTAGCTCAATGTAGCCAGGCGTACCTGTTATGCTGCTAGTTAGCTAGCACCCCAGAGCCTAGGCTTCATGTGCAGGCAGATTTCGTGTTGGTGCGACTGTGATACGAATCTCACGCAGTAATCTGAACATGTCCGCACGGCTCGAGTTAACCGAAGCTGCGAAACCGTCAGAAGCGTCGCTAGCAAAGCAAAGTAGATTAGCTTCCTTGTTTAGCCAGAGTCGAGCTGGACTGACATCGCAACAGGCTCAGTGAGAGTTTGCTGCCGCCTGGAGCTGTGAGTATCTTCTGACAGTTAGTGCAGGGGGACGTGAAACGTGTTGGAGCTGAGAGTGAAGCTCCCAAACGAACCAGAGAAGGGGATGAGGAAGTTAGTTAGGGGACAGTGTTTGACAGTTACAGTCCCCAGAGAGAGAGGGGCTGCACCTGCTCTGATGTTTGTCAAGCTTTTGGAGCAAATCTCAAACTTTGTTCTCTCGAACGTAACGAAAAGTATTTTCTCTGATTGTGGCTTTGAGTTGTAGATGAGTGTGGAGAGTGAACTGTAGAGACAACAATAAAGTGTGGTTGCATGTAAGTAAGAGCATTTACAGTATATATTACTGTAGTTTTGCACTTGAGTACAAATTTGAGGGACTTGTACATTTTTGTGAGTATTTTCTTTTTATGCCACATTATAATATTTAATAGTGCAGTTACTCATTGCACTACAATTTTCTGACTACAATTTCTCCATACAAGACATGTGAATGTTTTTATAGTAGATGATGCTTTGTTAAAAGTTAAGCTGCTGTTTGTCATCTTTTATGCAAACATACCCTACATTTCCTGGTTCCAGCTTCTTGTGTGTGATGATTTACTGCTTTTTCATTTCAATTACTTAATCATTTATTTATTTATTTTATGATTTTCAAATTTGAACCATTGGTTGGACATTGGATTGGTTTTAATAATGAAAGATATGTATATTAAATGTATTCCATTCTGACAGGCAACGCTATGGCATCAGCATCTGCCAGCGTAGACTCCAAGGCAGAGCTGACTGCTCTACTGGAACAGTGGGAGAGGGATCAACAAGGCAGCACACAGGAGCTGGTTAGCATCCTCACAAAGTAAGGAGACTTTCTGCTTGTTAATGTCATGTCACTGGGCTCAGCTGAGGGAGTCACAAAGACAATTTTAATGTGTTACTTTGCTGTAACTTTTAGAACCTCTGAGCTTGTCGAGAAGGAGACCGAGGAGTACCACAAAGCAGACCCAGACCCCTTCGATGATCGACATCCTGGTATGAAAATGAAACGCATAAAGGCAAGATCACTGGGAAATTAAATGTTATGCACATTTCTGACATTTCCCTCTTGGCCACTAGGGAGAGCTGATCCAGAATGTGTGTTGGGACACCTGCTCAAGATCTTGTTCAAGAATGATGACTTCATGAACGCAGTAAGAGTGAACTGAGACTTGAACAACAAATAGGGCCATTCTTAGCATGTGATTCAGAAGGTGATTTGTTTTTCATTGTCTTCTCTTTAAAGTTGGTGAATAGCTATGTGATGACCAGCAGAGAATTTTCCCTCAATGCAGCAGCTTGTCGTCTGCTTCAGAACATCATGCCTGGACTGGAGACAGCAGTGGTCTTTCAAGAAAAGGTAAAATATTCCTGACCTCATTATTAGACCCTTTTTTCTCTTTTTTTAATGTATGTATTATTGTATGTGTGTAAAGAAATTGATACCTGATTCTTTTTTAACTTAAATATTTTTTTAATGTTAATTTCATTTAGTTTTTGAAGCTCTCATACATGTCAGAATTTTTTTTCTGATTCATAATTTGTTCATATTCTTTTAAAAACAAAAATGTAAGTCACTATTAATCTGTGTTTTTCAGGAGGGTATTGTCGAGAGGCTGTTTAAGTGGGCTCAGGAGGCAGAGCAGCCCCTCAGAATCTATGCCACAGGCTTGTTGGCTGGAGCCATGGAGAATCAGGACATTGCAGCCAACTACAGGGAGGAGAACTCTGTTTTGGTCAGTCTGGGATTCTGTTGTGTCAAATGTCAGAAAGTACATAGTGGACAATGTATTACAACAGCCAATAAAATTATATTACAACAAGCATTAGAACAATTTGCTCATCATCACTAGATGGTGTGAAGTCGTAGCTGTCGATTAACTTTTAACTTTCTGTGCTTTATTTTGACAGGTGCCTTTGATGCTGCATCGTTTACGTGAGCTTCAGCATAAGGATGCTGAGAACAAAAGGGAAATCAAACGGCCCAGCCCCAGGAAGAGTTTGAGTGAGCCTCTGCTTCCTTTAGATGAGGAGACTGTTGACGGAGGCTTTGAAGAGAAGCCCTTCATGCTGGGCAGAAACGGAGCTGAAAGGGAGGGGACTGGGCCAGAGGGGGATGGAGAAATTCCCTTCTCGGCCATTGAGCCTGAAAACGAGCTTTCGTTCCGTCTCAACTCCCCTCCCAAGGCCAGCAGCCGTGCCAATTCTGCTGTTAAAACCATGATGAAGCCCATGTCTGCCCCAAGTTCTCTGTTACACCCAGGCATTTCTGATGGCAGCAGTTACCTAAAAAGGAAGGCAGAGAGGGAGTTTGGCAGGACCTCAAAACAGAAGCTAAATTTCTCTTTGCCAGATCCAGAGAGGAACTTCAGCGAGCTCTCAAACAGCAGCTGGTCCGAAATGAGCCCCTGGGTGATAGGCAACAACTATCATCTGTACCCTCTGACCCCAGAGATCGAGCAGCGACTCATCCTGCAGTATCTCACTCCTCTGGGGGAGTATCAGGAGGTGGGTCTATTGACCTCAGCCTGCTCACTGTACAGTAGCATTTAGAGCTGCAACAATTAGCCAATTAATTGATGAGTAGATTTTTAATTTGTTTCTCAAATGTGAGGATCTGATGCTTTTCTTTTCCATATATTGTGGTAAACGCAACTTTGGGTCCTGGACTTTTATTGAAATTCATATAAAATGATTTTCAAGAAAGTTATTGGCTGATTGATCAAATTACTTTTTTTCTTCTTTTGTTGCAGCTGTAGTATAATGACTTTTGCAGCATTTATAACTTATCACTATAGGTTGTGTTTCCTTGTATTGTCATAGACTTACCAGCAGATGTCAGTCTTCTTTAATTATGATTAAAGAAGTCATTCTGTTGTGACATTGTAAACAGTCAGTTTTGAAGGGTCACCTCATGCTCAGTTTATACAGGACATGTTTCTAGCAGGCAATATTTTAGTTGAGCTATATATTCTAGCAATAATACCCCAAAAATTTGTCATTCATTATTTGCTCCTCATTCCTTTTCCTCCTCTTATCTGCAGCTGTTGGCAGTGTTTATGCAGATGGGAGCTCGCGAGCTACTCATGCATTATATGGATCTAAAGCAGACCAATGATGTGCAGCTCACCTTTGAGGCTCTCAAGGTAAACACACTCTCATTTAGTTGGCCCCCCAAAGTGCTGAAACACAAGGTCAAGCTCTCTACACTTGTATCTCTTCTCCCCTCCCCTCTCTCAGTACCTGGCATCTTTGCTGCTGCACAAGAAGTTTGCTGCTGAGTTTGTGGCTCACGGAGGAGTTCAGAAGTTGCTGGAAATCCCCCGACCGTCTATGGCTGCCACCGGAGTCTCTCTGTGTCTCTACTACCTTGCCTATAACCAGGATGCAATGGAGAGGGTACAGAACAGACACACACTATGCAAATACACTGTGAAATATCTGTAATATGTACATGTATATATAAAATGTGCCAACCAAGTGTTTGTAGCAGTAAAAATAACTAATATACTATATCAACATTTTTTTTGTCTGTTGTATATGAGATAAATTAACTACAGATTCCTCTACCTTTTTGGTCATCATATTTATTTTGAAAATCCTCTGTAGCTGTGTACGGATCATTAGAAGCAAATATATCAATAAAGGCATCCTGGCATCACTATTCAATTATTTTGTTAGTTTTTTTTCTGTATCTCATGTATTCAGAAGCAGTTCACATTTGTATTCACTGCTGTATCTTCTCCTCTCAAGGTGTGCATGTTGCCCCACTCCATCCTGTCAGATGTGGTTGGTTACACGCTGTGGCTGCTGGAATGCTCACATGCATCCGGCTGCTGCCATGCCACAATGTTCTTTTCCATCTCCTTTTCTTTCCGTGCCGTCCTGGAGCTTTTCGACAGGCAGGACGGGCTCCGGCGCCTTGTCAATCTGGTAAGTACAAACCAGCAGCTGCCTTCTTGCGATCCCAACCATGTAAAACTAACCATGTGTATCATTCATAGAAAATACTGTGTTTCAAGAACCGACCAACCGTCGTGATGATGTGACAGATGCTGATTGTGTACCTATATATGATGTCGTACTGATTCTTTTCAGATTAGCACACTGGAGATCCTGAACCTTGAGGACCAGGGAGCGCTGCTGAGTGATGATGAGATTTTCTCCAGCAGGCAGACAGCCAAGCACACCTGCATGGCCCTGCGCAGGTACTTTGAGGCCCATCTGGCAATCAAGGTGGAGCAGGTTAAGCAATCCCTGCAGCGCACAGAGGGGGGTGCCCCCATTCACTCTCAGCCATACTACAAGGTACACACACAGAGGACAAACGATATCTGAGCCTGACATTACTGGACACTTGATTTCTTGATGTATTATTCAGATATGTGTAGTGCTCTCTTTATGTTGATGTAAAGCTAATGCAGGAGTTTTGATTCCTGCAGTAACCAT